ATCTCTCTTTCTTCTCCCTCCTCTTACCCCTACCGATACACTGCCCAGCTCCTCAGTTCATTGTTGCTCGTTGCCACCTTCTCCCCTCTAGCGCCGACGAACAAGCAACCCTCTCTATCCAAGTTAGCAGCCTCGTCCTAAGTTACTGATGGTATTGGGAGGGGAGTATCCTTCCCGATGGCAGCAATGGCAGAAAGGGGCAGTGGGAGAAGGCGGGCCGGTTGGTAGCACAGAGGGTGCACATGATAGGGGCAGAAGGACAAGGCAGTAGGAGAGGATAATAGTGAAGACGGACGTGTGGAACAGGAGCTAGAGCAGGTCAACCAAGTGGGCAAGCGGCACGGTGGCCTTTGCGGTGGAGAAGGCGTAGGATGCCTGAGCACGACAACGATGATGACAGGTGCGACGCCACCATCGCAGCAGAGGACATTGAGTAGGCGCAGCAGTAGGACTTGGGGACACACGACGAGATGGCTGGCGGCGACGGTGAGGAGGCAGGAAAAATCGTGCTCTTGTCGGCCTAGGTTGTTGACGGCGTGAGGACTAGAGAGGCAGAAACGGACTCCGCGCCCGTTGGTCGACCCTATAGCACGACGTCCGAGCTCTTGTGAAGGGTTGGTGCTTCCATCGCTGCTCTAGGGTAGCCACCGCCGTCGTCCTCTCATCCACCAACGAGCAGATTCTGTCAAGGAATAAAACCACATGTCATACATACTTATTCTTGCATATTATACAATGTAAATTTCTGTATTCGTTTTTCCCCTTACTGCGAAGTACATGCTATTTGGAGATAGAAATAGAAGGGATAAAGTATTGTTAGAAACCAGATTGTCATAAATCATAATGTAATGTTTTGTGGACTTAAGTACTTCTGGGAGATTGGAGTATTTTCAGAAATAAAATCAGAATATGGGATAGAAAAATATGACTTTACCTTTGCTCCATTTTTATTTGTTCATGCTCTCTAGCATTTACGAATTTTTCCATTACTCAAATCATTATATTTTGCAATGGTTGTAATGGACAGGCAGAACCAAGTCAGGCATATGAGAAGGACTTGTCAACAATTGATGAAGCAATGATTCCAATCGATTTGATGCAGAGCCATGATGAATTTATAAATGCCGTAAAATCTCGGCTGACAAAGTTAGAGGTGTGTCTTGTCTCTGATCTTTTACTTGCAGACTCCTGTTTGTTACCAGCTCATGTGCACCATAGAATTCCTTCCTTGACCTTTTGTATCCAATAAACAGGGAACCAATCTTGCATACCTTTGCATGATAGATTATACATATGAAGAAGCTCTTCTGTCGCTAGCACCGGCTGTCTATGCTGCAGTCCCTGCTCGTCTCCGGAATCATCGCACGGTGGCCGAGGCAATGACTGATAGAAGATGGATCCAGGACATCCAGTTCGGCGTTGGGTATTCAAGCGATCCTAGAGTATTTCAAGCTTTGGGATTGCCTTCGGTCAGTGCAGCTTTCCGAAGAGCCGGACTCTCTATCTTGGCGGTGGGAGACCTCGGGAGAATACTCTTCCCGCTCGGCTTATTGTGTTCTCTTTTTTGGAAGAACTCGTCTCCAGCACAAGCCAATTTGGCAATCTTTGGCGCCCCCTCGCTGTCGCTACTTCCTTTGGTTGGTAGCTCTTAACCGTTGTTGGACAACATACCGCCTCCGGAGTCGTGGTTTGTCGCACCCGGATCGATGTGTTCTGTGTGATCAATGCGAAGAGACGATTGATCATCTCTTGGTCGCATGCCCGGAGTCGCGGCAACTGTGGTGGGTTGCGCTCAGAGCTATCGGGCATTCGGAGTGCTTACCGATCAATGAACACTCGTTCCTCTCATGGTTGTGCGACTGTCGCAAGAGGATGGTCAAGGAACATCGCCGGGGTTTCGACACCATCGCGACGTTGGTTGCATGGACGATCTGGAAGGAAAGAAACAATCGAGTCTTCAACCAGAAGAGCAGATCTTGGGCGGAGGTTGTAAGGGTTATGACGGGTGAAGCGGAGCTGTGGCGGCTAGCTAGAGCTGCAATCCCTGCTTTGGTAGCTCATGTTAGTAGAGAAGGGTCGCAAAATTTAGTTGGAGATTAGGCTTTTGTTTCTTGGTTCTTCTCCTGTGCCCTGTCCCCTTCGCTTTGTCTTTTTGGCCCGCTTTATGCATACATTTATTCCTTCTTAATACAAAGATGCGCTCCTTGCGTATTCCCAAAAAAGAAGCTCTTCTGTGTTCTTTAGGCTATTCAGTACAGGGAAAATGGCCTATTGTTGTTAGTCTATTGAGTACAATTAGACAACTTAGAATTGAACATTACCTTTTTCTTTGATACTTGCGTTAAATGATTTATTGGCATTTTCTTAAAGACAATTGGTGTGTACACACCTCTAAATTGAAGGTGAAGTCAGCTCTAGTGAAGATTGTTGATCAATCCAGCAACACCCTAAAATTAATCAGCTCCATTATTTCTGATAGCCTGATATAAGATGAGAGTGATCTACACCTGTATGCAAATTATGCATTGACATGCACTTTTCCCACCATCTACTAATTATCCTACAAGTGGAGAGTGGGGAATAGTCAGTGAGGAAAGCATTTGAAAACTAGTAAAAGTTGCATATATCATAGCCATCACTCCATCAGCATATGATATTAATGTTAACTGTCTTCAGATGATGCGGCATGTCTTTGACCAAAATGGTATCAAAGGAGCAATTGCTGCAGTGGCAAAGTTGCCCGACAATGCAGTAAGTATTTCTCAAGATGCCGTGCGTTATTCTTGGATGTACATGTACTTCGTATTCTTTAGCTGCTAATGGTTTGACTCTTTTTTTACAGGTTCAAGCTGATGTTGTTAGTACTCTGAAGAGGAAACTTGATCTCTTCAGTCTAGACATTTTCTTAAGCTTTCTGCCTGTTCTTGCGGGGTTACTGACCAGCAAGGCTGAAAGGTGATATATTGGCATGTTGGTTCTTGTCTGACTGGACCAAGTGATACATAGTAACTTAAGCGCACATGCTCTGTGCACACATGTAGACACAAGATGCTGCTGTTGAATTGAATTGTCTATCCTCTTGTTAGTATGTTCATTCTATTGCAAGCAAAGTCATGGATCTATTTTCTTTACAAAACCATGGAGATATTGGCATCCTACATTAGAAAATGTTTGGTTTAGTAGTAACTTTGTCTTATGGTTACTTTGCCTTTAATTTCAATTTGTAGGCATGCCATTGTTTCTTTGGAATTGTTGTTGGATCTTATAAAGATCTTTGGACCAGTTATTCGTTCAACATTGTCAGCTCATTCAGCAGTTGGAGTTGATATTCAGGCTGAGCAGAGGTACGTGCATTAACCTTATTCAAGGGAATGCTATTTAAAGGACGCCGCAAAACCTGCAAATTGCAAAGAGACACTGGATGTGAGGTGACAAGTGGGTCCTGTCCCTGCACTTCAGTTAGGAACCATTGTTTTAAAAAACTGCAGCGTTTGTAGCATCCTATAACCTATTGCTCTGTCTATGTCAAGATGAACTGGACTGTTGCTGACTTCGCTGGTGTGTATTGTACACAGGTTGCAACGTTGCAGTCGGTGTTTTAACCATTTGCAAAAGATTCAGCAAGTTCTACACCCCTTAATTATGTAATTCCTTTCCTTCCCCTCCCCTCCCTGTATGAGATGCTTTATCCTTTACTTTGGGTGTGTTTAGTTCACGCCAAAATTAGAAGTTTGGTTGAAATTGGAACGATATGATGGAAAAGTTGGAAGTTTGAAGAAATAATTTGGAACTAAACTCGGCCTTTATCAGACTGTTGTTTTCTTAAGCTTGCTGACAGTTGTTCGTGTGCACCATTTTTTTTTTGCTACCCACGTCATTTGTTGGAGCTAGCTTTCCTGACATTCTGTGATGGTTTCATATTTTGTTGGTGCAGGCGGGGTGGTCAATCAGCACAACTTGCCCAAGAACTGAACCTGTCTTTGCATGACTTGGTGGTGATCTGAAACAAGCGGGGAGGTTCATTCATACTAGTACAACACAGTGAGAGTAGATAACTAGACATCATTCTTTTTGGCAAAAAACGCGCCAGCGCCATACAGTTTTTGTAGCTTGTTGCCATAGCTTTGCAATTGAGCTCTGTAATTGTGTTTTGACTTGGCTTTTGATGCGGCGTTGTCCCCTGTTGTACATGTGAGCTTGGCTGTGCATAATCTGTAATTAACATTTGTTACATGAACAGCCCCGGATGAGGGAGAGGCAAGTTCAAAAATGGTTAATATCTGTCAGTTCAACGTGGTGATTCATTCTCTTCTTTCATGTAATGAAACTGTTGCCCGTGTAATCTGGAATCTGGTGTTGATTCAATTCACCATTTCACCATCAACGACGTGGTTGAAGTTTTGAAGACAGAGTTTGGTACGGTTTGAACGCATTACCCATTCCCCGTTTGACTTCCAATTCAAACCAGCTGGGTGCTGATGACTGTCTTGTCATCATTTGATTATTTCCTAAGCCCTGTTTCCTTCGTTCCTAAGAAAACACTCTTCTGTAGTATTTTTTTACCCTGTTTTTAGCTGCATTCTGCTATTCTTGTGGCAAACCAATTCTGGCTGGCGATGGTTTTGCTCAGTTACTGAGCGGGTACGTCAGGACAAATTTGTGTTCCATTTAGAAACTTCCAATTCTTTAAACTTAGGGTGGTGACAGGTTTGTCAGGTCAATCAAAACCCGCCGATTGTACTACACCGTAAATTAAATCAGATCCCCTTCGCTAATACTATCACGAGAGACAAATCTCAGCTCCAAATTAAGAACGTACCTGTAAGCCTGCTAATGGTTTGGGGCCAAATGGGCCAAACGATTCGGTTCCTTAATTGGAGCAACTCCGGATGGGGGGAAATGGGCTGCCACCACAAATGGGCTGGAGTGGTTTGGTACCTAAAAGTTTTGGTTTGGACCGATTTGGTTTTGGTTAAAAATTATTGGATCCAAAATGGGTGAGCCCAGTGGAGCCCCATTCGGCCATTCCCCCAAATCGGCAAATCCCCAGGAGAGGCGAGAGGCGGAGACTCCAGCCGCTGCCGCCGCCACCACCCACGTCGGCGCCATGGCCGCTGCCTAGGAGCTCTGTCGCCGGCCTCTCCAGCGCCCCTGCGTTATCCCTCTTCCCCCGTCGACGTCCCACACCGCCGCCTCCCACGTCGGCGTCCAAGTCCGCCCCTCTAGGTCGACGGCGGAGGGGGGCAGGGGGCACGGGGGGAGGAGGAGGAGGAGGAGGAGGAGGAGGAGGAGGGGTCCGGGTGGTGGTTGGGGGCCTTGTCGTCCCGCCGGCGACGAGTGTCCACGAGCTGCTCGAGTGCCCCGTCTGCACCAACTCCATGTACCCGCCCATCCACCAGGTCCGTGATTCTTGGGGTTCTTGTGTTTCTTTCTTGGATCTGCACTCACTGCAAGTCGTCGCCGATGGGGATTCTTGGGGTTCTTCCGAGTTAGTTTCAGCCTGTCATATTCTGAATATTAACATGCATGACGCCATACAACCATCCATAAAGAACCTGTGTTTTTTCAGATCAATTCGAGCCCTTTTGAGTAGCAAGATTCATAAGGAGAATGTAATATTTTCAGTAGAGATTCGAGAAAGACAAGTGTGTGCAATGCTTGAAATAAACATTCACCAGACTTGCAGTATGACAATGGGAAAGCCCCTATATGACAATCGAGTATCTCCTGTTCTTGTAGTGTGTTGGACAGCTAAAATTTAAGTGCTATCATTAGAATTGACCTCATTGATGATGACCCAAGGTTTCAGAGGACAGCTTCTCTTGCCAGTTTTTCTATAGCATGTTCGTCATTGTTTTTTTTTCTGTTCTCCAGAAAAGCAGTTCTTCATCCAGCAATTTAATCATTTTTTGGACTGGTTTCTGTATTATTTGCAAGAAAATTAGAGAAAATGGCGCCTTCTTTGCCTCTACCTCACATAATAACAATTGAATTGTCCACTAGAGTTAGATATCTTCATTTGATTGGGCAAAGTTGATCATGCATACACACCAGAAATATATATCGTGTAGATCAGGTAGAGGTAGAGAAAGTTTTTTAAAAAAAATCCAGTTTACTTGTATACTTTGATCTGTCTAGAGCTCTCTCTGTTTTCCCCTGTCTTGCTTGGTTGCTTCAATGAACAAGGTGCAGAGCAGAGGTGCAGATTTAACTGCATCTATTTAGGATTCATTTATTGGAATTTTGAACTACTATTGTAAAATTTTTGTCCTCTCTGAACAATGGACAGGCTGTTGAAAATTGATAGCTTAGATGGTATACAGCTCATGACAAGATCTTATGCTGTATTAGTACTGGAAATACATAATGGTAACACTGTATCAAAGACTTGAAGATTGAGGTCATCCTTTTCTTACAAGAATACCTTGATGTGATACTCAAAAGTGCTAGCTGTCCAGTTTCTGTAGAACAATAAAAAAAAATTGTGATCTTCCTGAAAACCTGTGCTTGCATAAGCAAATAGCTCACTGAAAGTTGCTGTAATTTCAGACAGTTCTCACATGTAAAGCTCATAGCTTAGTACAGTTCCAAACAAAATTCCTGTCACCTTCCAATTGTTAATAATCACCTCTAATTTACCATGTTCACTCACAAAAGAGATTGATGGAGTGCCGCTACTACTACTACCACTGCTAGTTATTTGCATTCTGATTTCAGGTTGCTCCTATATATTAATTGCAGGTTTTTCACATTTAAGCTAAGTACTTGGAAATAGGAGAAACATACGACATCAAGAAGGTATGGCAGGACCACTCCCTCTGGCTTGATGGCAAGGTTGTGAAGGCCAAAATCTAGGACAAACTGACCAAGAACGGTACATCTCTCTGCCCCTTCTATCCAGTGATGTTTCTCCTGTGTAATTAGCATGTTTCTCTTGTGATATATGGTGAACTGTTGTGCCTTCCTTTTCTGAACATTTCGTTGTGATGTGAGAGTATTTATTTAGCTTGGTAATCATGCATGACTCACTAGCATTTCAGCTTGACCCAAATACTAATAGTAGTAGGCTGTCCTCTCTTTTTCATGGCATTGTCAACTCTACACTCCAATCTTTCTAAACTTAGACTTCAATCCAAATTTATCTCATCTGTTCATATGGACACAACACCACGTGTATGCCATATGGAAACCTTCATCTCCACGTGCATTGTTCTTTAGCCTAAGTATCCCGTATGATATCCTTGACCGTCTTGACCTTAACTCCTCTTAAGCCTAGTCCCGATCCATCACTGGCTATACTCCTATGTCCTCAAGCAACACCTGCACATGAATAACAAAGAAACTCCATATCTGAGTACAAGTTCGTACCAACTTAACTCAAGTACAAGTTCGTACCAACTTAACTCATATCAGCACAAATAATATCACATATAAATAGAAACCATCTAGAGCCATAAACATAAAACAATTTAAAAATTCCACGAAAACAACCCGAAATCGACTCCTTCTCAGAGTCTGCTAGTCTGACCATCGGGCTACCCTGGTTAGACCGCATGAATACATACGGTCATTGCCAACAAACTGTTCACCAACATTAAATAGTGTTCACCGTGTTTTCAATAAACATTTACCTTTGACAATCGTTCATCATCAAGATTATTCATCACATGATTATACAGGAACATTCATGAATAACTATGGGCCATTTTTTCCGTCTCCCTCGTGCCACTATTGTACTGATAGCTGCTACTTGTATATGTCTCTTTCACCGTGGCTAATATTTCACTCAAACAGATACAACTTCTGCTATTGTTGGTCTTTTGATAGAGGACCGGCTAGTGCACCTCATTGCAAGCTCCAAAACTCTCCGAGCAGAAGTTTGATCATAATCGCATCGAAGCCTCTTGTCGACTGCATCAATATTACCTCGATCGAAGTTTGGCCTCACACCCTCACAACTTCAGTTATGTGAGTTTGTCCAATCTCCATAAAAAACACAACGAAGCTCTACACATCGCTTTTCTGGCCATTTGTAATCCTAGGCACCGTAAGATACGTACTCCCTCCGTCCCAAAAAAAGTAAATCTAGGACTTGACGTGATATATTCTAAGTACAACGAATCTGGACAGATGTATGTCCAGATTCATTTTATTAAGATATATCACATCCAGTACTAGGTTGGTTTTTATGGGACGGAGGGAGTATGAGCTAGAAGCCAAAAAAGGAATTTTGAGTGCGGCTGTAATATTCACATATTTCACTAAGAATCCACAACTCAACTTCAATGAATACAAAAGAAATGTTTTGACTACAAGTACGGCGCATTGTATGGGTCTCTGGGGTTATGGCTATATGGGCCGTCGTTGTGCTGGCAGGAGGAAGCTGCTATCGATGTATCAAAAGCACAAAGTGAATCCCAGATGGGTTACGACTAGGGTTACGGCTTACGCCTCGCCGCCTCCTCCCCGGGAAAGCAGATTCTAGGGCTCACTCTTCCCCTCCCAGAAAGCGAAGATCTACAGCTTGTCTCCCCGTCGGCCGCCGCCGGCCCGCCGGATTTCCGTGGTCGCGGGGCGGAGGGGTGAGCCGCGGGCGTAGCAAGCCGGCGAGCCAGACTGGTGGGAGGGGGGCAGGGGGGATGTAGCCGTGGGCGCGCCGTTGGCGAACCCAAATTTTGCTAGAGCCAGGCGCCTAGTCCTCAAGGGCGCGGGTGCAGGTACCGTTCTCTAATGTCATCTTTCCATAGATTCTCACTCTCAAATCTCTGTTCATTGGTTGTCACTGGAAAATCGTAGGTTAAAAATGGAAGCCACTGTGTGTTTTGGTTTGTGACATGCGTATGTGGATCATTAGATGTTTAGATCAATATAGCAAGTTCACTCGATGTAGGCTCGTCTGGAACGCTCGAATTGAAATGATTGTTGTCAAATTCATGTGAATTTTCTCTTTTCCAAGCGAGTCATAAAGAGGAATAGCCATGTTTTCTTTTTTTTTCCCCTTTTCTCCTTTTTTTGGCGATCAGGTTAGTGGAGAGACCCCTCTGCATTTCTTAAAACTTCGGACCTGCTACTAAAATGATCACACACATTGCATACTTCAGGGCTTAAGCCTTGTCTAACTTCTCAACACATGTTTATGTTTTTTTTACTGTCAACGTCTGTGCTGTTTCCTCTGACTGGTCTTATGAATTTTTCAAAACAGGAACAGTACAAGACCATGTCTTCAAGGAGAGGAGGTGGTGGCCGCCGTGGTCGTGGCCGTGGCCGTGGGAGAAGTGCTTTGGCAGAAAATGATATGGACTTTCATGAAACCTCTGCACTTTCTTCCCCGAGCACTACTTCTGATAAAGAGGACAATATCGAGTTCACTTCGCAGCAACCTTGTCTTGTAAGCCCAGCAGCAGAGCATGTATCCAACACATTACTCAACCCTAAGATCAACCACCGATCGGATGCAATCTTCGGTGATCAGGTTAATCCAAGAGCAATTAAGTTTTGTCATAGTTGCATAAGTAAACAAGTTATTGTAGGCAGAATAAACTTCGCAGTGCCACTGAGGTCATGTTTTTTGCAGGCTGTGGAGCAGTTGAAGTTGCGACATCACAAACCTTTAAAATTTCATGAGAGATACCGTCCTTATTTGAGGGATGCTGGCCTTCTTGGGCTCTCACAAATTTGCCAGAAGATGCCTCAATTGGACAAGGCATTGATCACTGCCCTTGTTGAGCGTTGGAGACCAGAAACTCATAGTTTCCACTTGGCTTCTGGGGAGATGGCAGTTACACTACAAGATGTAGCAATGTTGTTAGCTCTTCCTATCGATGGCCGTCCAGTTTGTTCTACCACTGATCATGATTATGCGCAGATGGTCATTGATTGTCTAGGTCATGATCCAAGAGGACCATCAATGCCTGGAAAATCTTTTCTGCACTACAAATGGCTGAAGAAGCATTTCTATGAATTACCAGAAGGAGCAGATGATCAGACTGTGGAGAGGCATGTTCGAGCATATATCCTGAGCCTTTTATGTGGGGTGCTATTTCCAGATGGAACAGGACGGATGAGTCTGATATATCTTCCATTGATTGCTGATCTTTCTCGTGTTGGGACATACAGCTGGGGATCTGCAGTGCTGGCCTTCCTATACCGTTCTCTTTGTTCTGTTGCTTCCTCCCACAATATCAAGAATATTGGTGGTTCATTGCTTCTCTTGCAGCTTTGGAGCTGGGAGCGCTCCCATGTTGGCAGACCATTGGTCCGGTCTCCCCTGTGCCCAGAGACAGACATTCCACAGGATGTGCCACCTGTTGGCTTTCGTTGGGTAGGTGCGCGCACACAAAGTGAGAATGCTACACGCTGTCTTAAGCAGTACAGGGATGAACTGAACCTGCAGCGAGCTGATCAGGTGAAGTGGGAACCCTACTTGCACATTGAGTCTTCAAGCTTGCCATTGCTTTGTACAAAAGATGCAGATTTGTGGCTTACACAAGCTCCACTAATAAATTTTCCGATAGTCGAGATGTATTTGCCTGAGCGAGTGATGCGGCAATTTGGGCTTCGCCAATCCATTCCACCACCTTTTCGACCTACCCTACAGGCGCTGCATCGTATTAGTCGACGTGGCAGAGAACATGAGAACTGGGAAGAGACACATCATGAGTACATTCAGGAATGGGAAGCCCGCCGGCAGCGCATATTTCCAGAGTCAGAGCAGTATGACCCATCGTCTTATGAGGAGTACCTGCATTGGTACTCAGGAGTTACACGGCGGTATCTTGTACCATCAATCAGTGATGATGTGGAAGCAGGACCTTCATTACAGCCTGATGATTCCATTGATCTTCAGTATCAAGCCAAGGCTCCTATGATCCGCAAAGCAGTAAGCCTATATTATCTATTCAGTTCCTATGATCAGTTTCTATAGTTGATTGGACCTAAATTTGTGTCAGATATATGTTGTCTTTGCAAGACTTCAAATAGTTTTACAATCACTCCATGCATAATTTAACTAATATATTTAACTCGAAGGGTCTGCTGATTGTTGTAGGTTGATAAACTGCATGGTATGGTAAAGAAGGCCAAGATGGCCATGACATCCACAGCTGATACAACCACACAAGCCTTGGTCTTTGAGTTTCTGCATGGCTTTCAGGATGTTCTCCATGACCTTGGCGAGATCAAGGAAAATGGTGGTTCCGCTACTAGTCCACATGTTGAATCAGCTGCCGCTCAAGACATGCCTCTACTTTTGCTAGAAGCTGAACAGAACATTGTTGATGCCGATCAAGAAGCTCAGCATCAGGAAGAGGAAGAGCTTCACATGGTGGATGATGCAACAATGACCCTCGAGCCTATGGATGAGGAGGATAATGGTTTCAACAATGTCATCTGCCCATGTCCTTCACTGGAGTTGGAGGAACACAGTCACTCAGCTACACCAGCCATCGATGAGTGTGATACAGCCACTCCTGCTCCAGGCTCTGCAATCCCACAGCAAAGCACTAGTGTTGATCAAGATGGACATCTGGAAAATCCTAACTAAATGGGCCAGATTGAACTAATGGTGGAACCTATGTATGTGGATCACAATGATTCCAACAATGTGCTCTCATCCAGCACGTCAGCTCAGGCGCTGTTGGAGAATTGTGAAGTAGCAGAGGCAGTCAATGAAAATGTCGATCCAGCCACCCAAGTTACTGGCTCATCTACCCCAGAACAGGGCACGGATGTCATAGTAGATGCTGAACAAGAAAACCCAGCCACAACAGAGGACAACTAACTTCAATGGCGTCCCCTCGTCTGCAAAGGTGACAGGCGATTCTGATTTCTCCCCTTTTATGGACCAATTCGTGAATTTAAGTATAAATTCAAACGAAACAGAGCCAACTTTTGCTCTGTTGGCTGCCCATGTCCTTTTATGGACCCTTTTATGAACCATAGAACCACCCATATATACTGCCATAGGACCTTTAGTGCACGGTTTTGTATAGTTTAGGGTGAAGATTTCTGGTTTTGTATTTAAGGGACCTAAAAAAATCTCGCTGTATATACTGCCATAGGACCTTTAGTGTATGGTTTTGTATAGTTTAGGGGTGAAGATTTCTGGTTTTGTGTTTAAGGACCTAAAAAAAATTAAGTTGAGGTACCTCCGGTGAACTTATTCTTTTATGTATCAACATGCCCTCGAAGTCTCGAACTGGAAACCTGAAAGGCGAAAAGAAGCTAGTCCAAATTAAGCGGCGGCGTGGCCCAACCGGCCCACAACGACCCAGACACTCTCGCCGTCGCCGCCTCCTCGCCTCCGCTTACTCCCTCCCGCGCCGCCGCCCGCCGCCCTCCGCCCCCCGCCCCCCGCCCCGTTGCCTTCCTCGCGGTTGTGGCTTGGCGGCTACATGGGGAAGAAGCGCGGCGGCCATGGCCATGCCCCGGCGGCGCCGCCCAGGGCCGGGAACCAGGCGGTGTCGCTCCGCGAGGAGAGCTCCGGGAAGACGCGCGCTGACGCGGCCTCCCTGCTGAGGGTCCAGCACCTGCAGCGGCTGGCGGCGTGGGCAGGCGGGGAGGCCGGGGCGGGCCCCCTCGGCGCCCTGCTGGGGCGACGCCTCGCCGCCAACGCCGAGGCGGCCGGGATACCTCTGGCCGCCTCCACCTTCCTATGCCAGAGGTCAGGGTCACTGCTTACTTCTTACTACACCTCGGTCGGATGCTCGCGTCCTTCAGAATTTGCCTGTCTGTTGTGGGGCAAAGTGCTCAATTCTTCTACTGAAAGATCCTCATTTGTGGTTCATCGTCTTTCAAATTGTTGCATGATATTGAAGGAGCCAATCTGCCCCCCAACCATTGCAGATATTATTAGTATCATAATCCTCCTCATACCTCTAAGAAATTGCAGTAGTTTTGTGCTAAGCAGCATTTTAGCCAGTTTAAGGACTTGTCCGGCTAGATACTATAGAACCCAAAAGTTAAACAGATCGTCCTATCCTATATTCCTAATTTCCTATGCACCATAGAAGTATCAAGCAGCCTTTTGATGCTATGTTGTCGTGTTAATTCAGCTATTCATATAATTTTGCACTTGCTTTTTTTATTGGTAAAATCATTTGTCTATCAGTGAGAATGACAGAGTGATCTGTAGCTTTAATGTACTCGATCGGTACATTTCATAAATCAGTTTTATGGGATACAGATAACCAAGTCTTGAAGTTCTTTATAGCAAATAATCGAAACCTATTTTACAGATATATTGTAAAATCAAAACCTATTCATATGATTTATTTAGTTGGATCCATTGTGCATATCATTCTCAAACTCTCTTTGTGATTGATTACTCAAGTTCTAACCAAATTTGTGTAAATCTCCTTCTATTCACAAAACAACAGTTCATATTGACTTGAACTGATTAAGTCACTAGGTAGTTTTGTTTTTTTTTCAGTTATATTTATTCTGTTATCTGTCAGCAACCACTGTTGTTGCAATACTGTTTCACACGGCTTAAAAACTGCTAGTTCATGAGAGCATCATACCCTGTAACCTTGTTCACTAAGTCCAAACAAATGATTGTGTTTTTCTTTTTTAGAAAATCTTGTAGTCCAAAATTGATCCGTACAGAGAATTGGTGGGAGAATGAGCACTTCATTGGTCACATATTCAAAACACTGTGTCACTGACAGTTGCATGTACAATTATCTCTTTACTCTAAAAGGAAGTATTTCTTGCAATCTTGCATGTGTGTGTGGCTATTCTTCCATCTTGTCCCCTAAGTATACTGATGCTACCATATAAGAAGGGCAAATTTTGCTATAGGACACTCAAAGTTTGTTTGTGGTCTTTGCTGTGAGACACTCAAAGAACGTGTATCTTCTCATGGACACTATAAAAATGTGCTAATTAGCTGTTGGACACCCGATACATTATTTTATTATTTCCGGTGAAAACAGAGAGAAAGAGAGTTGAAAATACCGAAATGCCCCCGGAGTACTGTTCTTCTTCCTGCTTCATCGGAGCGCCCCGGCGCTAGCGCCGAACCCTAGCGGCCGCAACGCGAACAATTCGGCCAGGAATGTGTTCGCCGCGTGCGCGAGCCGCCTCGCCACGCCGGCGATATGGCACCCGTAGTCGCTCAGGAGGCACATGTGCGGGCCCGGTGGCTTGCACTCGCCGTTGTGGCCGAGCGCCACGACGAACCCCGTCCCGCCCGTGGCGACCGCGGCGCACAGCTCGCGGAGGTTGGCCTAGATGAGGAGGCGTCGTACGCCCGAGAGGGAGTGGCGGACGCCGTAGCCGTCCGAGACGTAGTGGCCGAGCTCGCGGAGCACGTCGTTCTGCCCGCACGATGCAGCGCGTGTGCAGAGTTGGGCCGGCCTGGAGGTTGCGGCTGTCCTTGGGGAGGCCAATGCTGTTGAACTGGATGATCGCCATAGAGTAGAGTGCCTCGTTGTGGCCGTGCCGCGACGCCGCTACGCGCCAAGTCGGCACCAAACCAGCGGGAAGTCGACCACCCGTCGCGGCGCCCGGCAACTCGTCACGGCGATGTCCGCCTCCACCTCAACAGATGGATAACGCGTTCCAAATTCCAACTCCCGCCCTCTCGATGGGTTCGCCCACAGGTACATGTCAGTGACGTCACCCGAAGTCACGCATCGCCAGCGGCGTCGGGATGCCATGCAACGACGACAAGATGGTGTTCTGCAGAGCAGCGATGATGATGCGAGTTCGAGGGGCATGAGTGGCAGCAACAGAGCAGCATGAGGAAGAAGAGGAAAGGAGAAAGAGAGGATATGTGAGATTGACAAGTGGGCCCATAGGCAAACTTGTCTTTAACCAATGTTTCTCTCTCCGTCTCCACCGAAAATAATAAAATAATGTCTCGGGTGTCCAACAGCTAATTACCACATTTTTGCAGTGTCCACGAGAAGATACATATTCTTTGAGTGTCTCACAGTAAAGGCCACAGACTTTAAGTGTCTTGTAGCAAATTTTGCCTATAAGAAATTGAAATGAGTAGTCATCCTGATAATGTTGTATGGCTGAAGCAAAGCTTGAACAAATAACAGCATAGTAATTGCCATGTGTTTGTTCTAAATCTTGGAAGTCAACCCATAATTATGATTAATACATCTATAGTATGATGTGAGCACTAAAGTAGCCATGTTAAAGCGACTACAAAACATTTTGACATACTATGTACCCCCTCAGTTCCACACTATAAGATGTTTTGGCCTCTCCATTCTTCATCTAGATTCACTAACATCCTTATCAATTTGGACACATATGAATCACATACATGGATCCATGCATGAATCTATTCAAAACCCAAAACATCTTATAATGAGTACTTTGTAGTTCAGTTTCCTAGTTATGTTTTTTTTTTCTACTGCGCGTATCCATTTGTCTGGATCATAAGCATTACTACTGTAGAAGAGAGCAATATCTCTATAGGACTTCTGAAGAAACATTCTCCAAACTTTTGCAGGTGTGAAACAGTCTTACAGCCAGGCTTCAACTGCACAATCCGCATAAAGAACAACAAAAGAAAAGCAAAGCGACGCAAGAAGTTAAACACTTGCCAGAACAGCATTTCTTACCTGTGCCATTTCTGTGGAGACCAAAACCTAATAAGGGGCAGCGGAAAGAATATTATGAAGGGCTTGTTATCATCAAGAAAGCCAGTTGGCATGGATGTAACCAGCATAAAGTTGAAAGGGGACAGTAATAACAAGAGATTAGTAACTATAAAAGAGGGCTTTGAATATTCTCAGGCAGCGGTCTCACAACTAGAGTCAACATCTGGGTTGAAACAACAAAATCTTGAAAAGAATGAGTATGAGGAAAGTCCAGTACCCAATCTTCTTGACGAATCTATGGAAAAGGAGGTAGCGTGTTCATCGGTGGAACTGAATCAGTCAGCATCAGCTACTGATCAGGAGAATGTCTCACAGAAAATAGTGGTAACAATCACAAGTGAAAAAGGTATGCATGAAACTGAGCCTGTTTCTGCTAACAAAATTGCAATATGCCAACCCGATTTTCCTTCAAAAGCAGAATTTCCAGTCGGATCAAGTTTTGTTACTCCTCGAAAGAACAAACTGGTGGATGTGACGGACCATAAGGATTCTGCAGAACTGGTCAAGACAAGAAGCATTCAGAACAAGAAAGGGGAGATGCCAAGTTCAGTTACTGGCAAGGCCCCTACAATGCCTACCAAGTCAGCTCCAAAGGACCGTGTGAAAAATAAATCTGTAGCAAGTGGTTCTGCTCAGATGTCTGGTAGTTCAAGGAAGCGGGCAAGAAAGGGGTGGACTACGCTGAAACAGATTGCTGAAAAGGAAGAGCTTGAGAGAAAAGAGAAGATGGGTAACTTTGTAATACCATTCTTTATGCAATAAGAGATGTTACAACTCACGCTGATTGTAAGCTTTATTCTTGGTGTATTTGTTGAGAATAGCATACAAAATTTTGATCATATTTTGAGTTACTAAACCATCGCAACTTATTAGCAAGGTTGAAAAACATGATATTAATCCTGCACATGTTGGGCGGGCAGGTGTATCGAGCCAGCAGCCGTGCGGGGTGGCGTGGTGCGGCGTAGGGGAAACAAAAGTGTGGAGGTTGCTACAAATCGGACGTCCGATCTTTTGCAATAGATCGGACGGTGTTGCACTATATTATCACAAAGTGTTTCACATGTTGCACCACTCACGAAAAAAATGTTTCAACGAAAATGTTTCATCGATCGAGGAAAAATGTTTCATTGCTTGAACAAAATTGTTTCAATCAAATGCAATATCTGAAATAGACTGGTTGCAACACGAAGAATCAGTAAAGTGCAATACTGAAACAAAAACAAAATGAAACACTTTAGCACAATAAAGTGCAACGAGATAGAACAATAGGTTGCAACATCTCTAGAACTCAAATAAAAATGAACCCACCTTCATCTTCTACCCCTCACCGGCAAGATTGAAACATTTGTATCTTACACATGAAACATCAAGTTTATACTGTTGTTGAAATGTGAAACACCATTGAAAAATGCAGTGAAACATTTCGATTTAACACAGAGAAACATCGAGACAAAATAGACTGGAACATTGAAAAATCAAATAAATTTACCGGTCTAGATTTGGCTTCTTCCTCCACCCCGGTGGCCAAATCTTCAACGGTGCCGGAATGCTGCTGTTAACGACCAAATTTGGTAAATCATACATTGGATTTGGAGTTAAGACCGAAGCGGATTTGGAAGGAAATCGGCAACAAAAACAGAGTATAAATCGGCTTCGGAACTGCATCGGCTACGGTGTGCATCGGCTAATATCGAATTGGACAAGGAAGCCGATGTAGCCGATTCCGACAAGGGGATGTTGGAACCATTGTTGGGTTCGTTTAAAGTGCTTCATGAGGATTGCCACGTGCGGATTGAGTCCGAAGAAGGCAATTGTATCTATTAATTAGGAATAGTTTATTAGTTTCCTTTTATCTTTAGGAAAGTGTGTCTGATAAGGACTTTATGTTTCTGTTTTATCTTTTAGAAAGTTTGTTTCTTGTCCGACAAGGACTCTATAGGCCCAAGGGTATAAATTGTGTACCAGGGGTCCCTGTAATCTATCAATCTCGATCAATACAACTACTCTCGGTGCATCGCCACCCTCTTTCCTAAGGTTTTTACTTATCAACCGGTGGGATTTGGGCACCTGACGCGGGGCTGCATCGGCTTTCGATCTCCGGCGAAAGGGTAAGTCCTACGTTCCGCCGGGCTCTGGTGAATCTGTCATCTACGTTGGCGTCGTTTAAGGCTGCATCGCTTCAATCTCTTGGATCGCTCTGGTTTGGTTGATTGATTTGCCTACCTGATATCTCGATTCTATCTTTAATTACATTGTGTTTAGAGATGCATCGGTTTAGCTGGAACTGTCTCGGTTAAGTCTGATCTTCTATCATAGCCGATATATCTCTACAATCACAATGTCGTTCTAGATAGATTTGTTATATCCATCACATTAAGGGTATTAGATTATCATATACAATCTCGTGCTGTATCGGTTAGGTTCGACCTACTAGATTGTTGTTGATAATATAAGTCTTGTTAAGCCGATAGGTTCATGCTAATGTTTTATCGGGGTGCTAGCCGATAAGATATCTGGACGTTGCATCGGCTTATAAGGATTACGTATATATATATATAAGTTGGATTTAGCCGATGACAACAAAGGTTTCACTGTTTAATCTAATCTGTGGATTTTATGGCATCGGACCTCTAGCCGATGTATGCTTTAACCTTCGGATAAGTGCTTATTCTATCATATCATTGCTAGCCGATTGATTTCTATTGGATTATGATATTGTTATATTATATTATTATCAGCCGATTGACTTTATATCATTATTTACATTGGACATATAGCCGATAGCTCAAAACCCTATCGCTATCGGCTGGGATTGCTCTATCGGCTGTTTAGCCGATCGGCTATTTGATCTACAGTTTACATATCTTGTCAGTTGCAGGATCAAACTGACTGGCACGCCCACATCTCATCAATCTTTGGATATGCACTGGAGTTAAGCAGATCTCCCAAGCCAGTGTGTGTTTTTCGCATCAACAGCTACGCTCCCTCGGCCACGGCCACCACGACGACTAGGAACTCCGCCGGCGCCGCCTCCTCCCCGTAGCCTCCGTGGCGGCGGTGCTCACTCTGCTCATCCTCCTCTCCGCCACGCCGCTGGGAGGACCCCGCGCGTCGGTGAACTCAGCCTCGCCCCTCCGCGCAGCCATCGCGGCGTACCCGGTGCCGGGCTCCCTACGCGCGGCCCTGCGCCGCTCTCCCCTCCACCGCCTCCACGCCGCGGCTGCCTCCCTCGACTCCGGCGACCCGTCCGCCGCGCTCCACCTCGTCTCCGCCTCGCTCAAGTACAGGGGGAGAGTGACATGTGAGAGAGAGAGGGAGGGGGGGTTGGGGAAGAGATAAGGTTGAGAGAAGAGTGGTGTGGGTGTGTGGGCATCTGATTTTTCTCTCCAGATCGGACGCCCAACACAAAGCGTTTTCGCAAAAGTGTGTTACATCTACACGATTATGTTGAGTAGGGCTGAGGCAAAAGCCCCAGTAGGTTTTTATGGGATGCAGGGGATCGATCGCCTTATATAACGGCAAGGTGTAGGATCGAATTTAGACTTAGGTTTGTCTGGTGTTCATCATCATAATTCATCTTGTTAAATTTTATATCACTATTTAAATCGCATGCATGCATATATGTAGGTGTAGATAATAATAATTTCACCTTATATAGTCCGCTTTAAGTAGGGATTAGAGTTGGATTTCATAGTGAAAATTGACCGAAGCAATATTCCCTCTTTGGAATCGCAAACACATTTTCTCCTCCATCACAGTCGGCGTTTTGAAGCGTCCGATTTCGTTTGTCCCGTGCCAATGCGATCTTGGCCGTGCATATTGCCATGGCAGCCTAACGTTGCGACTGCCAACACTACTAAAAAAAAGCTCATAGAGATCGGCACTATAGGTGCCGGAACAGTTAAAACCGGCACCTATAATATTTTTCTCTCCTCCGTGGACTGAAAACACATAAAACCGACACCTTTAAACAATTATAGGGGCCGGTTCTAATAAAAAACCGACACCTATAACATAAGTACCGGTTTATTAAAAAAACAACTTTAATATAATATAGGTGCCGGTTTTCTAAATAAAAAACCGACACCTATATATAGGTGCCGGGTCTTCTGTAGAACCGACACCAATAATAAATTATAGGTGTCGGTTTTTTAAAAAAACCGGCACCTTTCCAAACCGAGCCGAGCCGATCCAGACCGTCGAGTCAAACTTATCGCCGAGTCTCGGCTCTCTCTCTATCGGCCTTATCTCTCTCTCGAGTCTCGCCTCTCTCTCTCGTCTTCTCTCGCCTCCTCTCTGCTTCTCGTCTCTTGCGCGGCGGCGGTCGGGCGGCATCCCGGCAGAGGCGACGTAAGCGGCGGTGAGATGGGAAGCTGCGGGCGGCGGCGGCGCCCTCCCCTCCGCCGGATCCGGCGGGAGGGGAGGCGGGAGTCAGGAGGCGGGAGGCGGGGGCGACGGGTTGCGGCGGCGCATTCGGCGGTGACGGCGTGGGATCCGGCGGCAGCGGTGGTTTCCGCTGTGGATCCGGCACCAGCGGCCGGCGGCGTGAAGCAGGCGGCGAGCTCCTCCCTCTGATGGCGCCGCAGCTGCAGGGTTGGGCGCCTCCGCCGCCGAGGTGCTGAGCTCGGAGGCCTTGTCAATCTGTTGCGTGTTCTTGCTGTGATGGTTACTGATTTGGGCATGTGATGATGCGTGTGTGCAGGTGGACAGCGAGAGGAAGACGATGGTGCGGGTGCATCTCGTCGGATGGGAGGTGGACTGCCTGTTGCAATTTTCAAGCTCATCGACGACATCGTCATCCCCTACATCGAGCAGGTTGGTGGATGTTCCTGGAAAAAATTGGGACTTAAGATACAAAGTCTAATTGCAGACTACATTTTCCTTTGAATTTTTTTGGTCGATTTTTCTGGACCAAATACTTATGTTCTGTGAATTTTCCTTTTTGTCAATTTTGATTCTAAAATATAGTTGGATGGTGGATCTTTCATGGATTTAGGGATTGTGATGTAATGAATTTTTGATGGATATTATCCGCTCTACAGTGCTTGCTCTGCTCGGCTTGGCTGGGGAATTTTTTTTTTGCCTCGTTCATCCGAATAGGTGCCGGTTATTTACAGAAACCGGCACCTATAGTACCATATGAGTCTCGGTTCTAGGGGTATATCCGGCAGCTATTATATTATAGGTGCCAATGACTTCGATCATAGGTGCCGACCAAAAAGTGTCGGCCGCAAAACCAGCACCTTTTAGGCATTAAGAACTGGCACTAATGGGTATTTTTTTAGTAGTGCAACACGATTAATTAAAGCTTAACATCTTCATTAGTTCAAGGTTTTACACGCATGCATACTATACTTTATACAAATTTACACTCCACTTACATCTCACTTATACACTACTTAAACATGTAATTACTATGTAATTTTGGGACTTACATATGTAATTTTAAAACTTACATTATAAATATACTAAATTTACATATGTAATTTAGGGACTTACAATGTAAATACATGCTGACTATTTTTTGGTGAAAAATATAGTGCCGTAAATATAGCTACTCCCTTCCCTCTTTACATTCCTATAATTTGTTTCGTTCTTTTGGATAAAATGTGAGATCGAGGTAGAACACATTCTCTCAGATTAAATGATAGGTGCGGGAGCTCAACAGTCAACACCAATAATAGTTGACGTCGAACCTCATAGCAAATGATATTGGTGTCACCCCATCGATACCATCGGTCACTTTAGAAGAAAAGAAGTATGCTAAGGATAACAAGTTTCGACTCTGTCGTTGGCACCGAGACATTGAACATCACTCCTTCCGTTTCTGTTTCATATTGTATGTTTAACTTTTTTAGTCAATTTTTTTTAAATTTGACCAACTTTATAGAAAAATAGAAAAATATAGTGGTATTTTCGACACAAAACAAACATATTATGAAACTATATTCAATGTTAGATTTAATTAAACTAATTTCATATTTTAGATGTTGTTAAATTATTATATAAACTTAGTCAAACTCAAACGACTTATAATATGAAACCGAGGGAGCATTTATTTGCAAAATAATTTTTTTTAAAAAGCAAATTGTTAATGAATCATGCTTGAGCTATAGCTTGAGAAGCCAGGGGAAAACCGAACTACCAAATGGGCTCGTTCTTCCCAATAGATTAAAATACATGGCCGGTTCTTAAACTTGTGTGGTGGTGTCACTTAGGTCCGTGAACTTGAAAATTACACGTTTAGATCCGTGAACTTAGTTTAATGTACCACCCCGGTGCCGGGTCCCAAAACTAATGATTCGGTAACCGACATATTAAAACTGTATCAAGCCCTGAATCAGTAGATTGATACAAGTTCAATAATCTGGATCGTCTTTGCATACGTTTAGACATATCTTTGAAAGAGATATTATTATATAAAGTAATAGGGTATTTACAAGATTATGGCTAACTATTACAACAGAAGTTTTAGAATGGCCTAACTTTGCTGTTTTGTTATAGACTTAAACCATCTAAATAATCTGATTTGAAGACTAGGTTAAAAGGGAACTAATTTATGTGATTGAACTCCCAGCTTCAGTAAGAACTCCAAATTGACTGTGAAAAGGGGGTTGAAGCAAGGGTGAGTACAACGTACTCAGCAAGCTATTATATTCAATAATGAATGTATGAAATGGTAATATTTGAGTAGGGCTATGATTAGTTGCAGAAAGCAGAGAATATATAAGTAGAAAGCCTGTAATGATTTTAATACAACAGTATTTAATAAAGTTTGGAATTAAGTTTCTAACCAAATACTATATGAGTCCCAATGCTCAAATCCGTGAGCACGGCTATTCGAATAGATTCATTTATACTTTACTGCAGTAAATGTACGCTTTACCCGCAACCCATGACGTGCCAAACACATTAGCCTTGTCATGGCAAAGCTTTTCAGTTATTAACATTAGTGGTACCTGTTCCATGAACTCTAGTCCCCATGCGCTCTGAACGTAACGTTGTCAGCAGTGTGAGGAGTTCTGGCGTTCCCGAGGTCTTTAGAGAGAACTGATTGTATGACACCATGTCATCGCAATCAGGGTTCACAAAATCACATGGCCATAACATAGTCCCCTGGACTATCAATATAAGTATATTTACCTGTGCCTCGGTAAATATCATAATTGCCCTGCTCGGCATAGAATTGCCTCCTGCGCGAGGACTTAAGAAGAACCACTATACAGAGGTATCACCTTTGCTAGATAACTTAATCAGCTAGGTCTATGCCCATACGAGAATTGCGGTCGTACTCGTATGTTCTTCACATGTACTTGGCAGTCTTATATCGGTTGGAACAGTACTAGCCACCCGGAAATCAACCACTTCTACCGTATTGTTTCAATCTAAGTTCATTATATTTTATGCAATCTAACTAGGCATGGCTAAGCAAAAGCTAGCATATCTGGTTTGCTATATGTTCAGGTTATGCATTTAAAATCATGAATGGCTAATGCATAGAATAGAGATATAGATTATAGGATAATTATGCTCAAGAGGAGGAATAATAACTTACCTTGCTCCAACGCAAATAAATCCGAGATAGGCAACCTGATTATCCGATGCTCGAAATACCACAGGTTGCCATCCAAATATAATAGACTCTACTGAAGAAGAGGAAGAACCAAATTCAATAAAAGCCATAAAATAGCAAGAAAGCGGTAAACGATTAGGAGGGCTAGGGTTTAGGGTATAGCCTATCTCTTTTATAGGGTATTAGGATTATTGGGCTACTATTTCATTTGGAGGTTCTGAAGGGTTGGAGGCTAAGGTGGAGAAGGGATCAGGCAACTAAGGTTGCTTATATTTTATGTGAAGGCTTTGATTGGTTGGAAGGATGGGAAGTAGCTAGTTTGGATAGTTGTCTTGGTTAAGCGAGTATGTGGCTAGCTAGTATTTGATGGCGGTAGGTTTAGGTAATATAATAGCTGGGGTTTAGTTATATCTTAGAGCCAATTGTGGAATAGGATAGCGCATCGGTTAGGCTCTATAGTTTATATATAGGTTCTGGTAGGTGGAGAGTAGGTGGCGGAGAATATGGTGGATAGGTAATATTGTAGAGGATATGGAATTTGGATGATGGCTGGAATTTAACTAAGAAGGTATCGGCTAGGGTTTGGTTGTTTGCTAGTCGTTGCTAGAGTTGGCAGCATAACGACTAGATTTGGTGTCTTCTCTAGCCGGTGTCGACAGACAACATATCGGCTAGAGGAATAGGAGGTTGGTGTAAGATTAGTGGGGGCGGAAGTGTTACTCCAACAACCGTGAGTGGCGGTGGAGCGGCTAGGATCACATAGAGCCCGAGAGCTAACTGTGCGGCGTGCTGTGGAGGTCGAGGGAATAGTGAAGCTCCGACCACTATATGCATCGAGGCGTGGGGTGCCAGGAGCAGCACTTCGACCTTAGGTTTGGTTTTGCTGGGCTTTACAACCAACGGTCCGACGTTGGGGTCGGTAGACCGCACGAACGTCCCCATGTAAGGCGTAAAGTTCCAACCGGCAACTTTTTAGTGGCTAAAGGGTATTTTGGAAATAAAATAAAATATTTGAAAAGCAAATGTAAGTTTAAATTGTAAATTCAATTATAAGATTAAATCAAATATTTATTCAAATGGTATTTGAATAAATTAAGTAAATTCAAATAAAATATTAAAATAGCAAATTTGGTATCAAAATGTAGATTTTGAATTTAGATGAATTTAGGTCCAAGTTTCACTGAAATCGGATCTATGATTTAGGAGATATGGGCTTCTAAATAATAGGATTTGAATTAAATCTAGAAAATATGAAAGGGTACTGTATAGGGGCCCACCTGTCAGGGAATATCCTTTTCTTTTATTTTTCTTTCTCTCTTTCTTCTTCCTTCGTTCTCTTCTTCCTCTGCCTCACAGTGAGCCGAGAGAAGAGAGAGGAGAGGGTGAGCGGGGCGCCGGGCTTCCAGTGGCCAAAGTGTGGCGACGTCGGCGGCATATTGTGTTCCCGGTCGACGCGCACTCGGGGAGGTCGGTGGTTGGTAGAGAGGAAGAGAGGGATGGCCGGAACAGCAGCGGCAAGAGCTTAGCCCCGGCCGGTTTGGGAGGTGGCGGTGGTGGCTTAACTCAAGGTGGAAGGGAAGGGGTAAAGGGGTAAAATGGATTCGCCATCATAGTGGCGCAAGGGAAAGGATAGAGAAGCTACGAGGGAGGAGATCGACCGTCGGCGGCGACGGCCGGACATGGGAGGAGAGAGAGAAGAAGAAGAGCTCAAGGCTCGGATGGCGAAAAGAGGTGGACGTCGGTTCATGAAGGTCGGTTCGCCGGTGGAAGACGAGGAAGGCACGGCGACAGTGGCGTGAGGAAGAGGAATACGGCGTCGGCTTCGTTCTCCCATTGGACGAAAAGGGCGGCGCGCATACGTGGTGGCTGCCGTAAGATTGGAGGAGGAAGGCAAGGCACGGCGTCGGTGGAGTGGAGGCGAAGAGAACGGCGCCGGCCTCGTTCGGTGATTGGCTGGCGACGGCGGCAGGACTGTGGGCGGCGGCGGCCGTAGCCTGGGCGCCAAATGCGCCCACAGAGAGAGGGAGGGAAATTAGATTTTCTGACTTGGGCCTAGGTGAAGGTACTTCGGCCCAGATTGAGTAGAATTGATAGATGGGGTTATATTTGGAGGGAGTTTATATGTGAATTCCAAAATAAAGATCTTCTATTTTATTTGAGTGCAATATTTTTAGAAGTGGAGTTTGAGGGAATTTATTTGGAAGTACTCAAATAAGAAGTAGGGGTATTTCTGCACTAGGAATAATAGGACTCCTAAATTTGGATATATTTTTGGAAATGTGGGAAGAATATGGAGGGGAAATAAATAGGATGTTAGCCTCAAATTATTTGGCAAGGATTTTGGAGATGTATTTGAGGCTAATAGGGAACTTGGATTTTGGATAAAAAGATGAAACCTATTTTCTTAGCACAAGAGCAATTATTCATAATATTATTCTTGCGCCGAGAAGGGTATTATAGCCACAGGATTTAAATCAGTGGCTAGGTCAAAAGTAAGGATTTGGATATTTGAATTGAGGTTTAAGATCAAAGGATGGGTTGACACTTAATTCCAATAAAATTGGAATTGCTTTGGTTTATGTTCTAGGGGAATATGGGAAGGTTTCTTGGACCATAATTCATAAAAGTAAAAAGGGGTTTTCAAACTATATTTAAATAAAGAAAGATTTAGCAAAAGAAAGTTTGAAATCAAATCAAGAAATATCTCAAGATAGGTTTTTAATAAAAGTCATAAAAGGAATTAAATAAACGAAGAAGTTTTAAGCAAGTTAGTTTTAGGAGGTCTCTTTAATTATATTTTCCTAGGTTTAGGATGTTAATAAGAACATAAGAACCGACATGATGCATAACTAGAAAATTGTAATTTTTTAGGATGCTACACCTGGTCCAAATGTCCTTTGTCTGCGTTTGACCGCCAACGTGGCATGCCACCTATGTAGACAACATTTTTGCTCTCAGCCCCCTCCACATCACAACACGTCGCATATATCTCCTTGTAGCTATATAGTGACACCAGAATCCCCCCAAAAAAAATCCTTAAAATCGTTCTTCCTTCTCATTCTTCTCCTTGCATGTATAGAAAATGCGGTCCGGATTAGCAATTGCCATTGCTCTGCGCTCCAAAATAACCTTATCCTTGCGCAACGGGTACTTGATCAACAACACCTTCTTCCGACAACTTCAAGACAGGGACTGTTGGAATAAATGGTCTAGGCCCAATATAATTCAATTAAATTCCATAGGCCCACAATTAATGTTAGAGGTAATAAAACCACGTCGGGAATTTAAGTGGAGAGATCTCAACTTAAAAAGAGAACTAGAGGAGAGTCCCTATTGACCGGTTGAGATAGTGGGCGGACTGCCACATGCGCGCGCGCGCCGGCCGGTCGGCCCGTGGCCGTGGCGAGGCAGGCTGCTGCTGCTGCTGCTCTCTCTCTCTCTCTCTCTCATGTTTTGTAACAAACGGAGATTGATTCGGCATTAACGACGCTATTAATTCCCGAAGATTGATTCGGCATTAACGACACGATTAATTCCCGAGCGAACGTTACTCTCGGGAGAGACTCTACCTCTCTCCCGTCGCCAGTCAGTCCTCTCGGGTCTCCTCTCTATGCCTCTCCTCCCGTCGCTAGTTACCTCCTTCTGTTACTGCGCTGCTAGCATGGGTAGGCGGGCAATCATGTTTTTGGGGAGCGTTCTTCCATGCGACTGCTCTTTTCTTGGATTCTGCATGGCTGCGATCCTCACCATGTCGGCGGACAACACCAACAGCGCAACGGATGGAGATTGGTTCGGCATTAATGACGCGATTAATTCACAGAGATTGTTTCGGCATTAACGACACGATTAATTCCCGAGCGAACGTTACTCTCGGGAAATACTCTGCCTCTCTCCCATCGCCAATCAGTCCTCTCGGGTCTCCTCTCTGTGCCTCTCTTCCTGTCGCTGGTTACCTCCTTCTGTTCTTGCGCTGCTAGCACGGGTAGGCGGGCAATCATGTTTTTGGGAGCGTTCTTCAACGCGACTGCTCTTTTCTTGGATTTTGCACGGTTGCGATCCTCACCATGTCGGCGGACAACACCAACGCGCGCGGATGGGAAGGGTACGGCTAGACAGGATGGTACTGGAGGCTTCATCAACGGAGACAATTATGCCTCACAATCCAGCGGAGGGCCATTCTCTGGGTATAATCTCTCTATACTATTGTTTACTGCGTTAATTCTTATTGTGTTTCTGTTTAGCGCAATGTTTTCAATGCATTGCTGTATGATGGATGTCTATGCTTATTATATATTAAGCATGATTCGTTCGTTACATTTGTTTAACAATTGCACTAGTTTATTCCCTGTTAAAGTCATGATTATTATCTTGATAATTTGGATTAAAATATGCTGAATTGTGACCATATTTCCAACAATCCAAAAACCTGATAGGTCCTTTTCGGTAGTTGGATTTGCCGCATCACTGAAACCGCACGCTTTCGATGGTTCAAACTATAAGAGATGGAAAGCACGTGCACTACTATGGTTGACAGCGATGCAATGTTTCTTTGTTTCACGGGGCAAACTGAGTAAACCGCCTCTCTCTCCTGAGGAGGAGGCCAAGTTCGAGGCTGCGGATTGCATATTCCGTGGAGCATTGATCAGTGTGCTCATCGACAACATAGTGGACGTGTACATGCACATGCCTTCAGGAAGGAAATGTGGGATGCACTTGAGGCGAAATTCGGGGTTTCTGATGCTGGCAGTGAGCTGTATGTCATGGAGCAGTTCTATGACTACAAGATGGTCGATGATCGATCTGTAGTGGAACAAGCTCATGAGATACAGATGCTGGCAAAGGAACTTGAGAACAACCGCTATGAGTTGCCAGACATGTTCGTGGCGGGAGGTATCATAGCCAAATTGCCACCTTTTTGGTCCGACTTTGCTACTTCTCTAAAACACAGAGGCAAGAGCTCAGTGTCACTGATCTCATAGGCTCTTTGGGTGTTGAGGAGAAGGCGAGGGCAAAGGACAACCGCGGCAAAAAGGTGGAGGGGAGTTCTAGTACCAATTTGGTATAGAAGAAAAACCCTCAAGCATCCCATAACAACAAGAAAGTCAAGCCTGATGTCAAACCCAAGGCTACAACTACTTTTAAGAAGAAAGGCAAGGGAAAGGCTAAGGGTGACTGCTTTGTGTGTGGCAAGCCTGGGCATTGGGCCAAGGACTGTCCTAAGCGCAAAGACAGAAAGTCTGCAAACATGGTCATTAGCAAGGGCGGAGGAACATCGGGGTATGGTAAATTTTTACCTACAGTTCTTCCTATTTGTCACTCACCTGATTGGTGGGTTAACACTGGTGTTAATATTCATGTGTGTGCTGACATTTCCTTGTTTTCTTCTTATCAAGTCGGGAGAGGTTCCTCCTTGTTGATGGAAAATGGGTCGCTTGCGGCTGTTCTTGGTGTTGGTACGGTCGATCTAAAGTTTACTTCGGGAAAGACCGTGCAGCTGAAAAACGTGCAGCATGTCCCTTCAATAAAGAAGAATCTAGTTAGCGGCTCTCTACTGTGTAGACATGATTTTAGATTTGTGTTTGAATCCAATAAATGTGTTGTATCTAAATATGGAACGTTTATTAGAAAATGTTATGATAGCGGAGGCTTGTTCCGCTTTTCTTTGGACCATGTAAGCAATGATGACGAGTCAAATGTGTGGCATTCGCGACTCTGTCATGTGAATTTTGGTTGTATGACGCGCTTAGCCAACATGAGTTTAATTCCAAAATTTGCTTTAGTTAAAGGTTCCAAGTGTCATACCTGTTTTCAATCGAAACAACCTCGCAAGCCTCACAGTGCATCTGAGGCGAGGAATTTGGCTCCTCTAGAACTTGTTCATTCCGATCTATGCAAAATGAACAGTGTGTTGACTAAAGGGGGAAAGAAATATTTCATGATACTGATAGATGATTGCACTAGATTTTGCTTTGTGTACTTATTGAAAACAAAGGATGAAGCACTGCATTACTTTAAGATCTATAAGGCTGAGGTAGAAAACCAGCTGGAAAGAAAAATCCAACGATTGAGGTCAGATAGGTCAGATAGAGGTTGCACAGTGCGGCCAGATTAGCGGCGGGAGGCAGCGCAATGCGTCTTGCACACTAGGCATCCTCATGGATTCTCCAAGCTCGTCCCTGTTGGAAATATGGTCACAATTCGGCATATTCTAATCCAAATTATCAAGATAATAATCATAACTTTAGTAGGGAATAAACTAGTGCAATTATTAAACAAATGTAACGAACGAATCATGCTTAATATATAATAAGCATAGACATCCATCATACGTTGAGTGCATAGGGGTGGAGAGTGCAAATGCGTCTACGTTGAGTGAAAACGTATTGCGCTGCCTCCCGCCGCTAATCCATGAGGTTGAGTTCAGGGCAAGTTATGTGCGAAGGTATATGTGAAGGGGGCTGAGCGCAAAGTGTTGCCTACGTGGCGGTCAAACGTGGTCAAATGACGATTGGATCGGGGGTGGTACATTAAACCAAGTTCACGGATCTAAACATGTAATTTTCAAGTTCACGGACCAAAGTAACACCACACCACAAGTTTAAGGACCGGCCATGTATTTCACTGATTCACTCTTCGCAATAATTGAATAGAAAGATAATGGGAAAAAAATAGACTAAAAAAAGGGTTTTGCTAGTAAAAGTGCTGCCAACCAGCTGAACTGGTTTTGCCTGCTGAGGCTCACTCTGCCTCCTCTCGTTCTCGTCAACTGTCTCCGCCTCTCCGGCTCTCACCACACCAGCAGGCAGCAGTCTAACGATTTCGTCTCTCCGGCCGCCCGCGCGATCGCAAATCCATCGATCTACTGCGGTATCCACCTCTTCCATCTCCTCTACTTACTCCCGCCGCTTCCCTCTCCTTGCTCCTTGCTCTTCCTCCTGCTATCCTCCGCCTATAGGTGGTCGCGCACGCAAGCTGTTCGACGTTTTGCCTCTGCCTGCGTGAGTGTGGCGCGTTTCGGTTTTCTTGGCGTGCTTCCCTTCTTCGGCTGCGTCGGCTGATGCAACGTTGTCGTGTTTCCTTTTCCTTGTGTTTCTTTGCAAGGTCGTCGATGGCGGACGAGCCGACGCCACGGAGGCCGAAGTCGTGGTCGGACATACCGGCGGACATCGCCGGCCTGGTGCTCCGCCTCCTCCCCGCGCACGCCGACCGCGCGCGCTTCGCCGCGGTGTGCCCGCAGTGGCGCGCCACCGCGCGGCAGCGGCCCCTCCCCCCGCCGCCGCCGCTGCCGCTGCTCGCGCTCCCGGACGGCACCTTCTACAGCCCCCCCTACGACGAGCCCTTCCGCTTCCCCGGCTTCGGCTTCGCTGGCTACAAGGCCACCTGCGGCAGCCGGCTCGTCTTCCCGCGCGACGACGGCTGCTTCTTGGTGAATCCCTTCACCGGCGCCACCGTGACGCTCCCTGCCCTGTCCAGCGTCCGCCTCCGTCCACCAAATGCAGTTGCTAAGTACGATCAACAAGGCACTGCATACCCTGTCACATGGATGCATATCCGCGGCTCAGAGCATCTGCACATAAGCAAGCTGATCCTGTGCTTGCCAAGCCTTGTCGCTGCAATCGTTGGCGATGGACACATCAGTCAGATTCTAGTGTGCAAGCCAGGGGGCCTGTCATGGTCAGTACGCGCATACGACATGGTCAGAAACTTTCAGGACATGGCATTCTACCAGGGCAAGCTCTATGCCATTGCCAACGATGACGAGGACCTCCTCGTCGTCAACATCAGTCAGGACCAAAGCACCGGTGATCCACAGGTTTCTAAAATTGGGCAGGCCATCAAGGGCGAGCCCTTCCATTCAGTTTGGCATGAATTTGGCACCATGGACATTCTTGCCAACAAGAAGCTCTATCTGGTAGAATCGCACGGTTCACTGCTGATGATACGCAGAAAGATTTGGTGCTGGAGCAAGCAAGCGAGCGATACTGATCCAGAAGCTTCACGTCCCATTGTGGCTGGACCAAACGAGTTCGAGGTATTCAAGGCCGACTTTGAGCAGTCTAGGTGGGTCAAGATGACAACATTGGGGGATGAGCAGGTGTTGTTTCTAGGGCGAAGGTGCTCCAGGGCTATGTCAGTGTCGCAGTATGGGATGTCAGGCGATCAGATCTTCTTCTTGGATGACGAGGAGGAGAACCTCAAGCAGTATTATTACAGCACGGAGATCACTTCTTTCTGTGTGTGTGATATGAGAGACGGTCAGGTCGACTCCCCTCTGCCAAAGGCCTCCTGGAAGCGCTGTGACGAGATGCGTCCGGTGGCATGGCTATTCCCCCAGGACTGAAGCCAAGGTGTTAATGCAAATGCAAGCTGGGTGCGGCTTATGTTATCCGAGTCCACTGTCTGTTGTGTGGTGGCATCATCAGTATTTGCCTTGCCTGAACTTGTATTTTGGGATCTCTATTTATCTGAGCTTGGTATTGGTCGTTATGCTGCAAGGTAGTAGTAACCAATATTATCTGATATTGATCATGGTGGTCACATTATGGAACCATTCAACTCCTGTTTTAGGGTGGTGGTCTCTGATTTTCTCTAGTTCTCTATAGTTCGTTGTGTGTGTGTGATATTTTGCATTCGTGCTCAGGCTGTGATCTGTGATGTACCTTAGCTTGTCATTTTCGCTATTAGCTGGGCCTTGTCGACTTGTGAAACTTAGTGGACGTTTGAAGTAGTTTGAACTTTATACTCCCTCTATCCCAAAATGTTTGACACCGTTGACTTTTTTAAAAATGTTTGACCATTCGTCTTATTCAAAAATTTTAAGTAATTATTAATTCTTTTCCTATCATTTGATTTATTGTTAAATATACTTTCATGTATACATATAGTTTTACACATTTCACAAAAGTTTTTGAATAAGACGAACGGTCAAACATATTTAAAAAAGTCAACGGTGTCAAACATTTAGGGAATGAGAGAGTAGAAAGAATTTGTGTAGGGCTGTAGCAAGTGCCAATGTCCGTGATTTGTTAAGCAGCACATTTCGACGTGAGCTTGCTACAGATGGGAAGAGCTCAAAAGGTCACTAGCCGCCAATTCCACCACCGGTCATCCTCTTGTTGTGATCGATGCTCTCGCTAGATGCATGAACAAAAAGCCCACGCACCATTTCCAACTGCCAGGAAGTAACTGTCAAAACTGAATATCTGATTGGTGTAGTGTACCGAGTACATAAATATCCTGCTCTGTTTATCTTGGAGTATCTGAATATCTGATTGCTGTAGTGTAATGATCTTGTTAACGCGCACAAAAATGATTAATACTGTTGGCATGGAGTAGACTCTGAAACCATGCACTAGATAATATTTCTCTGTAGTGCATAGTTACAACTTAGAAGTTAAAATTTGGGAGATTCTAAGTTGGGATTATTAAGGTTGTGTTCGGCTGTTGAGGTTGGGAGTTAATCCCTTGTGCACACAAAACGAAACGGTTTATTAGCGCATTATTAATTAAATATTAACTATTTTTTAAAAAAGATTAATATGATTTTGATAAAGCAACTTTTCTATAATTTTTTTTACAAAAAAATGCACCGTTTAATAGCTTGTGAAGCGTGCGCATGAAAAACAAGAGAGGTGAGTGAGGAACAATGGATGTCGAACACACAGCCTAAATATGTGTATCCTACAGTCCCTACTCCAAGTTGCTCTTCTTGTGATTATTAAACATTTATTTCGTTTGTGCATATACCATTAAATCCAGTAAACCCATTCCCCTCTCATGGCGTATTTTGCATCAACCGCATGTTAAAGTTCCATATTATGACCAATTCCCTCCTTTACTATTGGTCATACTTCTCGCAATACTATGGGGATTGCTCTATATATTATGGTAAAATTTGATAATTTGGCACTTTATTTATTGTCACTTTGATTGTATTAAAACTTATGACAATGATACGTGAGACCATCTCAGTCTATGATGGTATGTCAGGATGTCAAATAATCGAACTCTAATTTACAGTGTGTCAAAAAATATTTTTTTAAAAAAAAATCAAATCTCTCGTCTGGTATGCATGCACTATTATTTCATCCATAACTTTGACATCTGTATTTGTAGGGTTTGATGTTACTGATCTTTCAGAAGATGCTCCTGAATCCTGATGAACGCTGAGGGGCTGGATGCCTCAGCTGCACATGTTGCAAGCTTGTTATCAAGTGAGCCTGCTGACAGTAGGTTCCCGAGTTTTTCTCCATTTGTTTGCTTGTTGCGGCATAACACGATCTTTAATTTTTAACCCATTTTATCAAGCAACTGCGACACAAGACACATGAGATGGCATATGATTCCTTTGTGAATATGGCATATCGCATTTAAAAGAAGCTACACGACGGAATAAAATAACTATCCCAGCCACTGGGGAGATCAAAGCTAAAAAAAAACAAACACTAATTTGTTATGTAAAGCTTTGTTTCATAAGTGATGTACTGTGGAGCTCACACATTATTGCCCAGAAACAAACTAATTTGGCTTCATAGATTGATAATCCAATAGACACAGAATCCGCTGTAATGCAACAAGCCATATTGCATTTCTTTTCTGTGAAAAACTGAAAATGACATATCGCTTTTATCTCGATAACGTTTTGTCCTGTCACATTAACCATTGCAGTCAAACTTTAAGTGTGGTTTTCAGCTGCACATGAAATGCGAACAGTAATTAGTACACGATTAATTAAATATGAACTATTATAAGCTTGAAAACATGATTTATTTGATTTTTTAAAGAAACTTCTATGTAATTTTTTTTCCACAAAACACACCGTTTAGCATTCAGGAAAACGATAAACTTGCTGTTTCTGTTGGCCTTAGTGGCTGGCTTTCTTGTGCCAGGTTTGTTCTAGTATATTGATGTGTTTAGGCATCACTGAAATTTCTGCTATGTGAACGATATACTTGTTGGTCATCCCAGGTCCTTGAAGAAAAAATTTTGAAAGCTCACAGGAGGCTGCACAAAGGTTTAATCCATGCCTCTTTTGCTTTGTCATGGAAAAGGTGCACAAACTGTTGTGACCTTCACTCAGCTTACTAAGTTTCTGTTACATTTATGTGCTTGTAAAGTTGTAATGGAATAAGCATATCAATTGGCAATGTTCTAACATTCAGCTTAAGGTAGCCTGGGGTTTATACTTGTATCTTGCCCTATGCTAGGAGAAGGTTCTGAGTTTTGACAATAGCATTCACAAGGCTAGCTGGCTAGGCATGCTACTATAGGATAGTATTAGTACCGAGTATCAGGACGACCTACAATAGATGCAGTTTACGCTGCCGCACAGGAATCAGTTCAAACTTCAGAGAACACAACAAAACCTTTACGCACTTGTGCTGTAAGCTGGTCGGTTAGTAACACAGGTCAGATCAAGTGGTAGAACAGAACAGTGCTGTATACAAGACCCTAATCACTTGTATAATCACAGCTTAGCCCAAAAAGAAACAGTGGCATTTACTAAACGGCGTAGCAGAATGGCATTTATTTAAAATAATGAAAGAGAGGTTGCACTTGGATACTACTAGAACAGAGGGTTCCACCATCCTTACATGAAAAGATCAAACAGGAGAACGCAAATCCATACTTGGTTCTGCACAAAAAACAATGCGTGATCACTAAAAAAATACTACCCATGAAACAGAAACGAAAATTCAGAAAGGAGAAATCCCACTCCCAGACTAATGTTTAAAGCTCACGTGACAAAAATGGCGTACTATATCTTCTTCATGATGATTCGTTTTGTTCACGCTTTTGTGCAATATCACCAAGCACATCCTTAAGCTGACCCTTCTGAAGAAAATTACACAAATAAGGAATCAATTACTGAGTTAAGAATTAAGAAAGTAGATGGATACACATGGTTATGAAAACCGGGGACAATAAGCTCACTTGCCTGATGCATATCTAATATGATATCAGATCCCCCAACAAACTCTCCTTTGATAAATATTTGTGGAAATGTAGGCCAGTTGCTGCACAAGCAAAGTAGAATAAGTAGTGAATTTATCGAAGAATAAACAGTTGCCTGTTTCTGAGAACCAGCTGAAGGGCACATGACAACCCATGTGTTGTATGATACACAATACTTAAAGTCAATAAAAAACGAAACCTTCTAACAGTAAACATGACAAGTGGAGCTCCATTATATTGTATATAGAACACAGGCTGGTGCCTCTAATAATATGTTGTCGAAGAGAATGATGTAAAGCATCAAAGGACAAACTATGCCAATCTAAACTCATCTTGCTTGGGCTGTCATTAGCTTAAGATTCTTTTTAATTGTAACCATTTCTTCAAGATGCTTTCATAACCTAAAGTTAAAAGGTCAAAACAATTGCCTTAAACCTTTATGATATAATATCATACAATATTCATGCCATGAATAATTTAACCTACCAGTCTAGTTTGTTCCCCTGTTGAAAAACAAGTACTCTATCTACATAACACAAGATTATGAAGGAATGACCAGGAGCCACTTACGTGTGGGCTTTGACACTCTCTTTGAGCTTGAGGTCTCCCAAAATATCCCTAGCACTGATAGGGACATCTGCAATAGATTATGATATAGTTTAAGAATCTTTGGAGTGTATTATCAACCATATTTCAAACAAATCAGAACTCAGTGATAATTTACCATATTGCTTGAGGACTCTAACTGCCAACGCACTGAACCCACACCTAGGAGCATCAGGATAACCCTTCATGTAGATCAGGACTGGGTTCTCCTTGATATCCTGCCCAACAATTATGAGGCAGCATTAACAAATGGCAGAAATACATCATGAAACTTTAAGACATGCCTAGCTTTGCCACAAAATAAGTTCTTCAATTTAAATGTCCAAAAAGCTCATTTAGAAATGTTAATACCTGAGAAACAATGTCATCAAAAGACATGTTGGAACTTTTGGTTGTAGGCTGGAAATCTTGATGTGTATCAGGATCAGCAGCAACTCGTGTTGAACTTGAGTCCCCAGTTGCAGTAGAATCGCCACCAAGTCCTGATGAGTAGTTCCTAAACTGATGGATAGTTGGTTGGGCCACAGCCTATCTCCCGGTTATCATGGAAAACAAGTATGCCGCAGAAACATGAGATCAACAGGGATATATTACCTGAGCATAATATAAGACTGATAGAACATGGCTAACAATAAACGCTTGTATGGGAAAAATTATGACCCCGTATCAGATAATTGCATAACAGGTAAAGCTATACAATTTGCTTACAAAACTTTAGCAGTGCAAGATTGGTCACTTCTCTAATACATTGGAAGTGTAAGAAAACCTGATACTTGCATAACCCAAGGATAGAAGGTTAACAACATAGGCAAGAGCGCCATAAGCGCTGCACCAAATTTAAGCATTAATTCACAAGAGAGCAACATATGCAGAAGCATCATAAGCATTGCACCAAATTTAAACATTAAAAGGAGAAACCGTGGGAAGAATAGCACAGGTACTATGTGGAAACTAAACAGAAGTTAGTAGTTTTGCAAGTATCGTGTTTATTAGATACTTCCTCCGTGCACAGTATAAGTCATTCTAGCATTGTCCACATTCATATAGATGTTAATGAATCTAGGCACACATACATGTCTAGATTCATTAACATCAATATGAATGTGAGAAATGCTAGAATGACTTACATTGTGAAACGGAGGGAGTAGAAGCCATCCACATATACAGAATACAGTTACTAAATAAAGCTAATGACGCACAAAAGGTCAGGTCACAGTAATCCATATTTCAAACCCTAGGCCTAGATAGAGGGTTCTCATAAAGGAAAAAAAAATGGTGGGCACAAAATCTATCGAATATTTCGTAACAGAATCACTTTGATGACAAGCAAAGGCGGATAAAATGAACAAAACTTCACTTCGATGACAAGCGAAGGCGGATAAAATGAACAAAACTATCAAGGAGAGGGACGGCAAGAGAGCCTTACAGCTACGGTCGGCGAGCAGCTCGATCTCACGAGACCCCTGATGAGGGCGGACGACATCAATCTCGCCATGACTACCCTGCAGCGACGGCGAAGAAATCATTCATCAAACGCCAAGAGCCCCCAGCGATCTACCAAACAGAAGGTCGCAGCAACTGCTAACCCGCGCCTACGGCCTGAAGGCCGCAGCAAGTACCTGGGAGGCGGCGGGACGGAGCCCTGCGGTGGTCGGAGGCGCCGCCGGCGACAGAGGAGAAGGAGCGGCTAGCTAGGGAGAGCGCCGCCGCCGACCTTGGAGCAGAGTTCTTGATGTGGTTTTCCTTTTTTTTTTTTTCCAGAAAACTCCAGATGATGTTTTACCCACTGGGCTAGGCCTTACGTTGGGCCTTCTCAAAGCCAACTTGACGCCCAAGTGCATTCCTAGGGACTGGGGCCCATTTGTAGCCCACATTGAGCCCGTTTCAAGGCCTGGTAAAACTACTCAGATTTGGTTTGGGCAGGAAGACCAGCCGAGACTGCGTGCAAGTACCGAGCTATTCGTGGTTTGCCTCGCAGGTACAGAATATGTATTATGTGCTGACCGAAAAAAAAAATTCTTCGTCTTGCGTGTGTATACTTCTCCAACGATTAAATGGTGAGTCTTTTTAAAAATTAATAGATAAAAAGGTTGTTTTAAAAAATTATAATAATCTATTTATCAAGTCTAAAATAATGAATACTCAATTAATCATCCGGTTCACCTTGTCCTGCATGTCTTCTCTCTTCCCCTGCTTCCAAACACACTCTTTAGTGTTGCCAAATTACTTATACAACCTGAACCTGGTGCAGTGGTGCGCACAAAGCACATAGCAATGTAGATTAGATAGGGAGAGACACTACAGTTTTTTTATAGCGTGATTAGTTATTTTTGTAATATCTGGTTGCTGTAACTGGGATTTCTTATGTGGTTTCCAGATGAGACCGTTTGTAAAGACCATGTAAGTTTCACTTGTTAAGATAGTAAAGAAGGTAAATCATTAGCACATTATTGGTTAAGAATTATTGTTTTAAACTTGAAAATAGAATAATATAATATTTTAAAACAATTTTTCTATAGAGATTTTTTAGAAAAAATGTCATTTAGCAGTTTAGGAAGCGTCCATGTGAAAACAAGAATATTTTCTTCTCTTTTAGCTTTTTTTTCAAACGGACATGCTTTTTTTTTCCATTTGCCTCATGCGTGGCTCTGCAACCTTTGTTTCTCGTCTATTGTTATTCGTTCTTTTTGGAAGGAACTGTAGGGGTACCTGTTTTCTCCAAACATATCGTTCATCTAACTAATGAATTGTTTCATCATGGTTCAACTCCATATTGCAACAGTAAGCCAATCTTTACGCAACAAATTTCAAAAAAAAAGAAAAAGAAAAGAAAACATCGGATGAAACAAAACGATGAGAACAAAAAATCTCACTGGAGAGATATGACAACAAAATAAGAACTGTACAACATCCATTTTACAAGAGGACGCAACATTTTGCGACACATGTTGCAGGGAGTTGATAATCGTATTAAATTCAAAAGAACTACAAATTTAATACGACTATCAACTTCCTGCAACATTTTGCGACACATTTGAGATGGCTACAAAATTTGAAATAATCGTAAAACAATGAGAACAAAAATCTCACTGGAGAGATATGACAACAAAATAAGAACAATGAGAACTAAAATCTCACTGGAGAGATATGACAACAAAATAAGAACTGCAAATTGGCAAGAGAAGACTAAATTTAAAAGAACCGCAAATTTAATACGACTATCTACTTCCGGCAACATTTTACGACACATTTCAGATGGTTACAAAATTTGAAATTATCGTAAAACCGCATCTCCATTTGATCGCCGGGCACTTGACACAAAGAATAATTGAACAAATAGCAGATCAATAACCAATTGAGGCAGCACGTTGCTGCTCGTTGGCAACTGCAATAAAACTATGCATTTGATTTCAAGATCTCAGGCAATATAAGCGTGGCATCACCTTAAATTTCTCAAATCTCAAAACACAGCTCGGATTTAACCACTTCTATCGAAAGTCCAATGGCCATACGGGCCTACAACTGAATACCATACAGTTCCACTAACATACTTTTGAGGGGTCACTCATTACATTGCTTTAGAAAGACTGATGCCTTCCCTTATCTTCAGCGTGCTTCATATTGAACAACTGCAAACACAAGACACTTGATCAAAAAATTGCTCATACTATCCAAGACAAGCAATCTGTGGTGGTGACGGATGACGTTGAACTTGGTTTAGCTATAGCATTTTCAATTTGAGCATAGCGTACTTTGCTTGTCAGACCATATGAGAACACAAACAAGATGCCAAGCTGATAATCAGTTTTCAGTTTTCAAATTGACGGCAACAATTAAATGCAGTTGGTGTGATGAACATTTCACTAATTATAAGCATTACTTTCTAAATGCAACAGGACCACAACCAGCTATAAAACAAAGCACAGAGCAGTGTTATAAGCACAAAATGCTTCATTTTTAGTGTTATAAGTACAATCATTTCAAAATGAAAAGGAGCACAACTGCACGGTGTTCTGTAATAAATGGCTGCACTTCATACATTGACAACGGATAGCAGTTGGCAATCAGTTTTTGGTAACAATAAAAGATTTATGATGACAGCTAGGCAGCTACTGGAATCTAATTTAGCGGGTGGAGACCGACTCACGGATACTTTTAGGTTCACTGTACTTCAACTAAACAAACTAAATTTCACTTTTCAAGTTACAAAATTGAAATTTATATAATTTAGTCGAACTATAGCGGGTCAAGGAATACCCACAGGTCAACTTGCTCCCATCCCTAGAATCAATATCCAACCAGCCAACTGTTCATACATTTTTGCTGGATCCGCAGCAATGTAAGGTACAAAAGAAATTATTGCATAGATGATTATTACATGTACTTGTGTGCTTCAACTTGTTTCCTTTTACTCAGAGCTTAATAACCAATCAAACATCATTGTACATATAATTTTAGTGTCGTCACTAACTCAAGTCCACTGAACTCATCCGATATGGAATACAAAATTCTTATATACAAACATTCTTCAGAGAAAGCCGAATCTCTTTCAGGAAAAAAGTGGACTACAAACTAGCCCATAGAGCTACAATTCGAAAAAAAAGGAACAGGATTTCCCCATTTAATGTGTTACTGAAAGAAAATATTTTGCCTTAAAAAATATGACATGCAAATCGCAAGCTACATTTATATATATCAGATAGAATCTTGCATTGTACTAGAGGATAACCGCAAGAATAAAATTCAGTTCTCAAAAACAGGGTACGAGAGATACAACATTTTTTAGTAAAGATAAGTTTGCATTTAATTTTGGCTGAAAGATTTTCATTGTTTGAGTTCAAGGGCTCCTTGTGATCATGCCACCTTGGGGCTTGGGCAGATAAACACAGGCACATGGTATGTGGCCATTGAGTTGTGAACGACAACCTGATCGTTCTAACTATATACAATGTACTTTAGCACTAACCCGGTCCACCGTGCCCCTACTATTGTGTAAGCTAACCTATGGAAACTCAAGAAATCAAACAAAAAATGACGCTCTAACAAAAGACGATGACAGCAACAAAAGGTAGCCTTTTTCAAGAAATTGGTTACGGGTTAAACATACTCCGGCGGGTACGCTTCTTGTAGAGGATGCGATAGCCACATTCACGGCACTGGATCACATCTCCTGGCTTCAGTGTGTTCTCAGCTCCGCAATCTGAAGACAAAGAAAATCACATTTGATATCAAAATTTGACAACTGAACCGAATTCAACTAGCCATAATCCAATCCAACCGATGGAGAGAGAAACCATCACCCCAAAATAAAAACTGGGAACAGAAAAAAAACATCCCATCCCATCGTGCGATGGAGCTCCAAGCTTCGACGGCGTTTTAACTGCTGAGTCGTAAGCCACCCCCCCCCCCCTTCCCCCTGATCCGGTGCACGGAGGGGCTACAGCCATCTTCAATCATCAATTACATCATGGAACAAGAAACTTGCGTTCTCCCTCCGACGCCCGTGTTTCTAATTCTCCAACACAAATCTTCTCCCCGGGCCAAAAAAAAAGAAAGAAAAAACCACTGCGGCAAATCGGCCAAACCCTAACCGGCGATGCGAGAGGTGAAGGATAGAAGGAATGACCTCCACAGAGATAGCTGACGGGCTCAGGTTGTTGCGGATCCATCGGACGCAGCGGCGCTGGTGGAGCGCGGCGGTCGGCCGGAGGCGGCGCGAGGCAAGACGACGGCTGCAGGCGCCGGGCGGGAGAGGAGGCGGCGGCGCGCGCGGCTAGGGTTTCGACGACGACGACGACTCTTGTCAAGCGAGACGAGGTTGGTGGTGGTGGAGAATAAATCGATTCTATTGCCTTTATTTTGGGCCGAGCCATGTCAAGACCGGCCTAACTGGGCCCGTTAGGCCCGTTATATGGGCCGGCCTAACGCCGCAAGCAGCGTGCGAGACAGGCGACAGGCTGTCAAAGGAATAAGTTCATCCGAGGTCCCTTACTTGTCAACATATCCGATTTTCGTCCTTCAACCGGAAAACCAGATACAATGGGTCTCTCAACTATCAAAACCAGTGCAGATGAGGTCCCTTGGCGATTTAGATAGCAATTTTGGCTGACATGGCACATACGTGGCTAATTTGACACGGTCTTCATCTGGCGTGGTGCTTACGTGGCAATTCAATCCGGAAAAATAATATAACCTGTGGGACCCACATATCAGTTTCACACACAAAAATAAAAAAAAAAGTGGGACCCATGTGGGCTCCACATGTCATCCTCCCAGCCATCCTCTTCTTCCTCCTCTCTCCATCTCTCTCACCCTCTCCTCTCTACTCGCTGGCGGACATAACGACGGCCTGGAGAGGCGTGACCTCCTCCACTCCCGCCCCCCGGGCCTATCGCCAACGGCCACTGGGAAAGAAGCGGCGCGCGAGCGTCAGCCAAAGGGAGGAGAGGAGCGGCGCGTGCGCTCGGCCAACGGAAGGAGAGGAGCTGCGGGCGGAGGCCGAGGGGAGCGGGAGAAATCCGCGATGCGCTCCGCATCCACATGCTCTCTCACGGTGCCCCGTGCCCCCACCGCTTCACAACCTACCTTGTCACGTGCGTCAACCACCGTCTCCCGCACTCGCCACCAACGCCTCCTCATCCTCGAGGGTGATGGTGGGGTCGAGAGGCTCCTCGACCTCCTCGACGCGGCTGACACCGGCCTCGATGCACATGCTGCACTTGAGCACGAGAACAATGTGGGTCGTTGAGGCCGTAGAGATGGACGCGGAGCGCGGCGGTGGCGGCGGAGAGGGGACGCGCGGCGCTGGTGTGGCGGAGGCAGGGCGCGAGGAAGGAGGAGAGGCTGCAGTCCGCGGCAGCATCGAGGATGCGGAGCTTGATCTCGACCTCCATCACGGGGGTGGGGAGGATAGGGGAGGCTAGGATTTGGGGTTGCGATTGGGATTGGTAGGGAGGCCGATGCAGTGGGACTTGGAGTGCGCGGCACCAGGCAGTGGGTGGAGAAGGGGGTTGGAGTTGGAGGGGCGGCGGGGTTGTGGTTGGAATGGATGAGGCGGTGGGAGTGCTAGCCGCTGCGGTGGCGGCGACACAGAGGTGGTCTACGAGCTCATCACAGGCAGAGGTGGTCTTCGCGCGCCACCACCGCCCCACTTCGCCCGCCGCCCCAGTCCACATCATGAAGAAGAGAGGATAACGGGAAGAAGAGGGGGGATGGGAGGATGACATGTGGGCCCATGTGGGTCCCACCATTTTTTTTATTATTATTTTTGTGTGTGAAACTGACATATGGGTCCCACGGGTTTTATTATTTTTCCGGATCGAATTGCCACATAAGCGCCACATCAGTGCCACGTCAGATGAAGACCGAGTCAAATTAGCCACGTAGGCGCCACGTCAGCCAAAACCGCCATCTAAACCGCCGAGGGATCTCATCTGCACCGGTTTTGATAGTTGAGGGATCTGTTTTTTCTGTTGAAGGATAAAAATCGGATTCGTTGATAAGGGACCTTAGATGAACTTATTCTGGCTGTCAAACGCGGAGGTGTCCCTAGCACGCGCTGCCTCCGACGAACGCGCGCCACCTGTTCGACGAATTGCTGCTCCGAGACAGCCACGGCCTCGACCCCCGTGGGCACCCTCAACACGCTCCTCGCCGTCGAGCTGTTGAAGCGGATGGACAGAAGGGCGAGGGCCTGTCCACAGACTGTTGCTCCCACCATCTACACCTACAGCATCCTCGTCGACTGCTTACCGTCGCGCCGCGCGTACCCCCACCCCCCGACCTAAATCAAAGTTTACTAGGATATTTAGACTTTTCCATTTTTTATGGCTTTGTTTCAAATTCTCTTTCCCTTGCGGGACTACTTTCACATAAATAATCGCCATGGGTATCTAACTACCAGGGTTTCTCCCCTTAACATCCAAACAACCTGTAATATACTCAACGCCCCTTATGCATATGCATATCCGAATCCCCTATTATCAACCTAAAAATGAGCAAAACTTTTACGTATGTGTCCTTAGCAATTCAAATCCAAATGTTGTAAAATAAACTACAATGAACAAAACTACAAAATCAACTCCAAAATTAAAATTTAAAATTCAAAAGTTACCTTATAAGTATAAACATAAGCAAAATGATGCAGCTGCTAGTCTAAAACAACAAAATTTGAATGGAGTAAAATGATTCCCACAAAATCTTCGTGTTAATATTTCCCTTGAAAATTTCACATGAAAAATGAGGAGATTAATGAAACAACCTTTGCTAGAAAGTACAGAGCAAAAGCAGCACGTTCAGTTCACCCGACCTTGCTGGCAAGTGGCATCACAAGAGTGCACATCTCATGATTCATGATGGCATTCCAACTTAGCTTAAGGTGTCAACTGTCAACAACCCATTGCATAAAGCTGTTCTACAATATATAACTGCTACATTTTAGTCAACCTATACTACAGAAGTATCAGAGTGAGACATCAGCTGCTGATTATGTACACGTTTCAGGCATCCAGTACAACAGTAGCCTGATTTCCAGTACCAGTGCAGTCTAGATATAAAAGGTTTGTGTGCAAAAGAACTCCTAGGTTATACAGAACATTATCCACCATTCATCCTGCACTTGATGTCTGGTAGCGTTCTCCAATACTGATTCAAAGATTGGGGCAGTACTGCAGCCAAAGTACCCCACGATTCAGGCAGAATGCTCAAGATCTCTTCCTCTTTTCGCTCTTTCGCAGACGTCCTCTTCTTCCTGTCAAGAGTGTGTTTTTCCATGTAAGTTTCTCATTTCAAGAAGAAACAAAGTCTCACACATTTTTTTCCTAAACTGAAAATGTGTTTCCAGATTCCTTTTCTTTCCCCTCAAAACAGACACATCAGGAACCAGAAGATGAATTGACGAAGACAAAAGGTGTTTCCAGGTTTCATTTTTGTCGAAATGGTTACATCAGAGCATTGAACTCCCAAGTACAAAGACAGATAACGATCTTTTATGGAGTAATTGTAACTAAGATGCCAGGCAACAAATTAGACAAAGCATTCAACTAACCTTTACGGGGCGTATCATGTATTTGCAGCTTAGCAGCAGCAGTCACAGCAACTGAGCCAACCTACAATGGGTGACAACGTACATGGTTTAGTAAAGATGCAGTAGAAGGTAAAAAAAAAAAAGACCCTCAACAAAGCGGCGTGTTTGGTTTAGAACATTGAACCCTGGACGTTCATGGCCAAAACTAAAAGTCCATAGGTGCTTACTAAAAGCTGGGCATGTTACGGGCTACTATGCTAATGCATCCTCATTAGAATATTTAGTAACATGGAAGTCCACATAAGAGATCCTAGAAAATAAGCTTCAATATTTTGTCCAGAACGAAAGGAATCAAATAGCCACCAATTGATATGATCTACAGATAGCCTTTTTAAAGTAACTAAAACGACTATTTAGTTATATTACATGGATCTATAGGATATGTAATAACATGTGGCTTATCTACATATATTATTTAAGCAGCAGCATTTCATCAGTCAAATTGCATCATGATCATTGTAGACATACATTGCACAACGTATTGTGGTGAAAAGTGGAATTAAAGCTTAAATGATTTGCATTTAATTAGCTATTTCTATTTTTTCTTCAAGGAGCAAAACTCAACATACATTTTCCTGAGAAATAAGGCCTGTGGGACATGTGACATTTTTATTTGGTATAACGTTCTCAGAGAATGTATTGTCTTGCATCCTCGCCCTCTTGTAGACCTTTTTTGTTGAAGCACTAGTTGAAATTACGATCACTTTGCCATTCCGTAATCGCCTGACTGTACTGCCTTCTGAGCCTTGAGGAACACCAAACTGTGGATTCATCCCTTCATTTGTTTCTAATGCATCCTTAGTACCCAGGTGTGTTAAGGATTTGCCACATTTTGGTGTTGCACAATCTCCTAAGACAGAGGATACATGACTTGTACTATCATTAACTAATAAAGCATCCTGCTCTGCCTTACTCCTCACATACTTTTCTGCAGGAACTACAGATGGTCCTACACTTGATGTTCCATGCTGAACTTTATTCCCATTCTCACATGTATTCATGAGCATACATAAATGCTGGTTATTTTCTTGATCATTACCACATGTTTCACTAGGGGTTGCACGAGGTTCTTCAGGCATGTCCATTCTGCCAGTGCAAAACTCCTCAGAAGTGGCCAATGTGCCCATGAAATTAACATTACAATCTGTATTTGCAGTAGGATCCTCAACAGTAGGTCTTCCATTAGAAGAATTAGAAAGCCTCTCGCTAGGAAATCTGTCTGCATCACTTCTAGACCCCTGATATATGTTGAGACCATCCCAAGAGAAAAGTCCCATTGAATATTTTAAGTTTCCCCGCAAAAACTTTTCTATATAATATTCAGTAGATTTTAGTGGAGATTGCGGCTGCTTGTTCATCTCTGCCATGTTTGCATTAATAATATTCTCCCATTGAACCGGAAAGCCAAGTGAGAAGTGTTTGGACACCTGCATGAATTTGATGAGATAGATCATATATTCATATATGCTGAACTCACTGAGCCATCAGTTTAGGATCTCTTCCAGATATTAGATTGGCAGAGTATACAAGGCATGTCAAGCAAAACTGTCTAAATTATGCAGCAGAAACAAGAACAAAATCACTCAATTGTTTTAACAGCAGATAATGTTACAAAACACTGGTCATTGAAGACAGAGGCAGAACTAGAAACACCTTTTTTTTTTTTAGGTGGGGTGCCCACGAAATGATTAGTAATTTCTACTACATAATTTTCTAAAGCTACAGTCATTTGAATGGAATTTGTATGCTGTTGGGGGAGGTGAAGCCCCTGCTCCCTCCCCACCCCTCTCCAGCACTGATCAAGGACCGATAAATAAAGACAGAAACTAAATACCTCGTCAGGAAATCCATTCAGATGCATTTTAGAAATGTTCGGTGGACGTGCAATCATTATGATGATACCATCTTCAGTCTCAAGGTCACCACTAGCATGCCGTGTTTTAATGGAAGCAGAAGTGAATCTTCTACCAGCTCGACTCCTGTTGGAAGAGTGACCAATTTGTCAATAAAAAATGTTTGTTCATCCATAAAAGGTCTGCAAATGGTTTAATATTGTATTTACAGAAGATAATACTGTTGTCACAAGTTGCAAACCAAAAGATGAGAAATAATACCCAAGCTAAGATAAATGCTATGCCAGAACCTGCAGATATTTAGCAAAAGAAATCCAGAGACAATATTATAACATAAATTAGAGAAATGAAGTCACCAGTTTCTAGAATGAAATTTAAAAGAGTCACATAATTAGTCTCTTCATATTTATTTTGGAGTTATAGGTTAGAAGCATTTTTGTTTGTAATAAAATAGAAAAATCATACTAGATTTAGTAAATACATTTCCCCTAAGTAACAAGATAGTATCAAATTCCAGCACAGCACAGCAGCCACAAAAGACAAGCATTTTTGTTTGTAATAAAATAGAAAAATCATACTAGATTTAGTAAATACATTTCCCCTAAGTAACGAGATAGTATCAAATTACAGCACAGCACAGCAGCCACAAACCATTCCTAAACCAAGCACCTCTAATCTTCGAATCCCACTGACTAGTTTTTCACATAGTCCGTATGTTACTACTAAGACGCCATTTCAGACATCCTAATTATCTCTGGTACACACCTCTATATGTACAAAACAAAATGTTAAAAATGTAAATGACCCTGAGGTGCTTTCAATGATGAATCTACCGGTAACATTGGCATGTGTATATCAGTGGACAAAGCTCAATTTGCACACAAGCGGAGTAAAACACCTAAAATTCACAAATATGCTAAACCTTCAGTAACGGCGGTTAACAATAGCTACTCAGCAAAAGTGAACTCTATGAAGGTAGGTAACCACCACCATCTTACAGATTTTTTTTTTTTTGGTTTTTGGAAATTGAAGCATAGCGAGCATCATTACACTAAAAACACACAGATGCTATGAATGATTAAACAAAAAAAATCGACAGGAGGATACAGTAACAGGAACAAGAAGGGAAGGGAAGAGAGCGGCTTATTACGTCGTGGTGTTGGAGCCGACGACGCGGACCTTGCCTTCCTCGCCTTCAACCCTCTCCAGCCACCAGTCGTCGAGCTCGACCTAGATGAACACACACACGGAAAGAGAAGCGGGATGAGATCCAGAGCCCACCAACGCCCCCCGCGCCGACGCGCTTACGACGATAGAGGGAGGGGCGGATCTTACGCAGGCCTGCAAGTAGGACACGGCGGGGGCCTCCTTCGCCGCCGCCGCCGCCGCCGCGCCGTCGCCGGCTCGGGGTTGGGTCGCCATCTCCGGCGGTGGAGAGGGGAACGAGTTTTCCCCGCTTTTTCTTTTTAAACCTTTTTTTTTAGGAGTCGGAGGGTTTTGGAAGGGTTCGGAATTTGCTGGGAAGACTTGTCGGCCCAATTGGGCCTTTTCAGCTGGAGTAGATTGTATGGGCTGGGCCTTAGTTGATGATTGGCACTATTTTAACTTGGAATAAGTTCATTTTAGGTCTCTTAACTTGACAGCGAGTTCGATTTTCGTTCTTTAACCCAAATACCATATACAACATGACCCCAACTTACAAAATCAGTGCAAACGAGATCTCTCGTAGTATTTTCCCTGGTTTTGGTTGATGTGGTGCCTATGTGGCTTCATTGACTAGGTCTTCGTTCTACATGGCATTGATGTGACGCTTACAAGGCGGTTTGATAAAAAAAGCTGTGGGGCCCATGTGTCACTTACATAAAAAAATAATAATAACATGGTGGGACCCATATGTCAACCGGCTTCCTTCCCTTCTTCACCATCGCGGCCACGCCCTCTTCCAGGTGCCACTCCCTGCTGCAGTGCTGCAGCCGCCCCCACTCGTTGTCATCGACACGAGTGCTAACCAGTCCAGCAGCGTCACCAGCAGCTTCCCCTCTAATCGCACATCGACGTGGCGCAACAACTCGTTCGTGGTGCTGCAGAGCTCCGGGTCAAACATGGAGAGGCCGAGCATGGGGCGACCGAGATGGCAATCCCGACGGCAATGTCAGGTGGCCTCGGCGGCGGCTATACCTCAAGGCATCGCTATCGGCGAAGAAGAGGAGTGGCTTCATCTTCCCACCATGGTCGGGGTGCGGGGGGCTGTTCAGGGTGCTCACCGGCCTCCCCGCCCCCCCCTCACCGTCCTCCCCGCCTCCTCCCTCTCTGTGCGGTGGAGGTGGTGTCTCCAACGGCGGATTTGGACTTGGGAGGAGCTTGTCGGCCTCCCCACCTCGTCCCTCTCCACACGCGCGGGTGTCCGCCGCACCTCCGCTGATTCGACCTCTACTGCGCCTCTGCTCTTGCTCACTGGCTTCCTCGCCTCAACCTCTTGTCATCTGCAGCTTAAGTCCACCAGAGCCACCTCCTCGCCGATTGCCCACAGTAGCCACCGCTGGCGACTACCACCACCAGAGCAATGCCAACCGCATCTGGGAAAGCTTAAGGGGAGGAGGGGAGAAGGAGAATGGAAAGAGATAGAGAAGAGAGGATGAGGTAAAGAAGTGGGGCTCACTGATATATGGGTCTCCACTATTTTTAATCTTATTATTTGACTGACATGTGGGCCCACATATTTTGTTTTATTTTTTAAATTGTTAAAGTTTGCTTTATGTGCCACGTCAAATAAAGACCGAGTCAAATTAACCATGTAGGTGCCACGTCAGCTGAAACCACCGTCCAAACTGCCATGGGACCTATATAGCACCGGTTTTGACAGTTGAGGGACCCATTGTATCTGGTATTACGGTTCAAGGATGAAAATCGAACTCGCTATCAATATAAGCGACCTCAGATGAACTTATTTCATTAAACTTTGACAACTATATACTAATATATATATATATATATATATATATATATATATATATATATATATATATATATATATATATATAGTTCATTCCAAATTAACTCCCCACTAAGGCTTCGTTTGTTCCTTTCATACTGGATTTTTGGCGCACGTGAAATGAGAAAACTCATTAGTACACTATTAATTAAGTATTAACTATTATAAATTTAATAAATGGATTTATTTCTTTTTAAAACAACTTCTCTATTCAAAATTATTTTCAAAACACACCATTTAACAGTTTGAAAAAGTGCTAACGAAAAATGAGGAAGTTGAAGTTTGAAGAGGAGGGAAAGAACGGGGCCTAAGTATAGTTTATGTTATTTCTCAATTCTCTCGTGAAGCCATATCATTCCAATTATTTTTAGCATTTGGATGATAGATCTATGGTACAAAATATCTCTTCTATCTTCTCTCATAAAATCATGCAATTTCAGTTATTCTAGGTTCAAAATTCATAAGTAAAAATTACATAAAATATATTCACCTTGCACTATATTTTTGACCATCTGTAAATTATACATAGAACATAGGAAGTCATTTTTTTTTAAAAAAATATATATTGCGGCTTATTTGTACAAATTATGCAATGTAATTTTCCGCAGCAACACAACGGCGTATTCATCTAGTAATAACTCTGAAATGGTTACATTGCAATGGACGAAAGTTTAATGCATATATTTAGGAGGCTAACACATTAATAACATATGGTATCCTTTTAAGCACTTTGGGCATGTTCAAAGGTAGAGACTGGTTTGGGCTCTTAGTCTAGTTAGAATGTTAGATACTATCCTCCTACAACAATTGGGACGACAAAAGACTCTAACAATTAGTACACCAAAACGGTTTTTTATTATCTTTCTTTCCTGTTCTCTATCCTCATGCAGCAAAGTTTTCTTTAAGAAATGCTAAGAGTCAATGTTAAATCATTGTCATGCATAACAATGATCTTTCTCTCTTCCATATCAACAAACTTACCTAAGACCCTGTTATTAATTACCATTATACATGCCCTTATACTATTTCTCTACAAAACTATGTTAAGGTTTAAATATAAATGGTGTCTGGTGTCATTTGTTACTAAAAATGCATCTAGGACCTCTAATTTATTTTGGTGTTAATGACAACACAAATACGAATGTTCTATTGTTTTTTGTTGAGATGGTTGCAAGGGTCAAAGTGGTGTTGAAGTTGAATAAATATTAGCGTCATTTTGAATGTGGTAATTCCTTGTAAATCTTGTTTAATTGTGTTTAGGATGTCATACTATTAAGAGGGATACCACGTGCATATAATTGGTTGAATACTAGTGCTCAAAATCATTTGTTTTAAGTGTTCCTGTTGTTTAAATCAGACTATCCGATGTGACAGACAATCCGAAATTTCACCGAAAGTCACTTTGTCTCTGGACTGAGTGTTGGCTTAAAATCATCGGACTATCTATATTCCCAACTATATGAATTTTCATGAAACTTCACTCTGTCTTAAATTGAAAATTCTTCTTGAGTAATGTAATTTTTCTAAGTGTAAAACGAAGCGTCCTATTATGGAACAGACAGTTCGATGACACGGAGACTCCGAAATTTCATGAAATTTGAGTCTCTGTTTGAGGATGAAATTTTGCTCCTAAAATATCAGACTATCTGAGATAAAATCGGACTATCCAAAATTTCTAAGAACTTGGTTCTCTATCTCTCACTTCTTTGGGGGCTAAAAATGTCGGTTTGTCCGATGTTACATCAGACTGTCTGACGTGGGCTGAAAGATTCCCCTTCAAGGACCACATTTTGGGGATCTATTTATACGCTCCACCTAACCCTTCTCTAGGGTCACCCATTCTCATTCACTTTGGGTTGAGGTTGGTGCTAAGGCGCTTTGGATCTTTGAGCTCTTTCTCCCTCTCTCAAATCCCTCTTTGCTCTTTGTATATTTCACTCAATCCTAAGCACTAGGATTTGTCTAACGGTTGTATGGTGTTTGTTACTCCTAGATGTTGAGGACTCCTAGACAGCTAGGCGTTGCTCTTGAGCCACCGATCTTCTTGTGGTTGGCCAAGGGAAGTTTGTAAAGGCCACATCTCACCCTCGCAAGGAAAGACATACCACCAGTGGGAGGAGTGCATTTATGCAACTTCAAGAGAAAAGGGTTGGAAAAGATCCTGTTCTTTGTGAGCTCCTCAATGGAGAATAGAATCCCCTCAAGGATTTGAACTCCGGGAAATACATTGACGAAAAATCTTGGTGATATTCTCTCTCTGTCTCTCTCTCTCTCTCTCTTTACTTACTTGTTGCATAATCCATTTGCCAAGTTTGTAATAATTAAAACTTAATTAGTCATGTGCTAATGACTTTCTCATTGTACATACGTTAACTTAACTCTATCGTACGTTGCTACTGATACTGTCTCATGTCTGCATGCCTATGGCTCTACTGGTAGTAGAATGTAATCTGAACTGTTGATCTTATTTGATCGAAGAGTTTAGATTTATTTATACTACCACTTCAGTTAGTGGTAGTAGAAACGTGGAGTGGCATTATTGTAAAAAAAAGGTGCGGAGAGGTATAATCATCATTTAGTAGTAACTAAACATTTTTTTTTCTTTTTTGGATCCTTTTATGGAATATGAGTGATGCCAGCACAATGGATGATTATGGATCGATTTAACCGGTATTATAGTAAATTACTAATTTACCCTAATAATATTGGTAGTATAATACTACTAGTAGAGAGTACCGGAGCATCACTTGACCAATTAAGGCCTAAGCATGACAATTAAGTATTAATCTACCATCTAGTGGTGCATGGAGCAGGGCAATTGCCCACACTAGCCAGGCCTTGGCACAGCCACTGAGTTACCTTGTCCTTGCCGGAGCAGGACAAGTGCTTGGGTTCTCTGTTGCGCGCCCATCCCTACTGTTGTTGTTGCTAGATTTCATGCTAGTGTGGCGACTGATGAGAGAGAAGCCCAAGTAGGGTAAGGCCATTCGCAGCGCAAGACAACATATGAGGAAACTCGAAGTGCCAAATAGGATGGAGCACTTTGAAACAACTCTCTCTACAATGCAAGCAACTTATGATGGGACCCACCTACCCTCCATAGTCCCCACCTCAGTCCCTCTCCCCTCCCCCTCTCCTCTCATAGTCTCACGTCTCTGAATTTTGCAGATGAGTGGTTCCCTTCAACTGTAGCTTTGCAGGCCAAGCACCAGGGTCTCTAGGAAGACTCGATCTTCCTCACAAGGATGGATATGAGCCCTACCTCCACATCAGTAGCTATCATACATGGAGGGAGAAGGAAACTTGCCACATAGGAGCATTGTGAAGGGCCTAAGTGCATGGGTTTTCTACCGGTGAATCCAAGGTCGGACAAGCAGGACAAGTGCATGGGTTCTCTGTAGCGCTCGTCCCCATTGTTGTCGTTGCTAGTGGTCATTAAAAACAAGGAATATTGGAAAATAAATCTAGAGTCTATATAGGAATATAACATAGAAA